CAAACGACGAAACCCCCCCCCCCCCCCCCCCCCCCCGCCCACGGCTTACCCCGATGGTCCTTCAAGACCTGACTTGAGCTCACCTAGTCCGCCGAGGTAGGGTACTGAGCAGCTAGAGGCGGCAAGTGAGGTGTATTGAGGTAGAAAACTCTCTGAGATTGTAGTCGTCCGACCTGCGGGGAGTGTCCTTGCGTGGTGTGTCATTCCAACCAAGAGCTACAATGAATGAACCATCATGGAGAGGCTCGTGCAGACATTTTCCAGAGACTCAATCAGGCCATGAATCCGGCCGGACCCTGCATGGTGTTAGTAGAGTTGTCTAGCCGTTGAGCATCCGCGACACTCGTCTATTCGGATACAAATAGCCACACCCATCCGTCCATACCTCGAGTATTTGCCAATTGATAGCCCAGCATCCTCGTCATCTTCAGTCAACAGACAATTTATCCTCTGGTCTCTTTCCACAATCCTGGACTTTCATCATCTCGTTCCTCTCTCTTGAAAAACCCGTGCACATGTCGAGACTCATCATTCCCAAACTTATCGACCCTTTCATCATCTGGAGTCTACATCAACTCTTTGCTGTTCACTCCAACACACCGAAGATCCTTGGGATTGCCGCTGGTTCCTCGGGTGGAGACACAGCATTGCGATATTCATCTTCGGCGGGTTACGTGCCCTCTGTATCCTTTCCAATTCGACGAGTTCAACCACGGACTGCCTTCTCCTACATCCCCATTCCCATCTTTTTGTTGTGTAGTGAGCAACGCTTCTGCGAGACCACGTTCACACTGCAGCACGGCGGCTTGGATGCCCATGATGGCAAGTCAGTAGCCGGCAAGGGCACTGTTTCCCTTCCAAGTCTTCATCGCTCCGGCGCGAGGCCTGACACTGTCGCACTGGGAACATACTCCAGCCAGATTATCCTGAAGACAGCCTTCAACGGAAGAGGCCATAGATCGGTACCGCCTGAGGCTTTTCAGCCATCAGCCTCGCCTATACTGTCGTCCGTGGTCTACCAAGACCAGCATGTGACACAGGAGACATATCAGCAACCACCTTTCCCATGCGTCACATGTGGACGAAAATTGACCACAAAAGACAGTTTACGTCGCCATTGCAAAGCTGTTCATACACACCCACAAAGTCTATTTTACTGGTGCGGGTGTGGGAAAACGGACACCCGCAAGGACAATCATCTGAGGCACGTCAACAGCTGCACTCGAGAGGTTCATTGCGTATACCTTTGTATATGCAACATGTGCTGTCTCTGTAAGGACTGTCATGTGGCACACGTCCGGGCTTGTACTTATGACTTCTCGAGAGGATAGATGGATTTCTCTTGAGGTCTGGTGAACGGGTACCTGGACATGACCCTTCCACTCGCATGGTGGAAATGGCGGTCGATCAGGCCGTGCTTGGGTAGTTGACGATGGATGAATGTTGGAAAATAGCAGCTAGGAATCTCCACTATTCTGTTTTCCTTTTGATCTTCGTAATGGTCCGTTTCGGGATCGGTGTCGTACAGGTCGTTTGTGGTAGGAAGAAGGGTGGTACCTTTCCAGTAAAGGGAGTTATCATGAGCAAAAGCATTGTATGAAGAGCAGAAAAGAGAAATATGTTGCTTGGTTTAGAAACCGGGAATGTGCGCGTTGACTTCGCCAGGGGCGTGGTGGGAGTTACCATGGAAAGGCCTCACCCAAGTGAACAAAAGCAGATCGGTTGGAGAAGTGAAGGCATACCCGGACTTCCGATAGCTCGATGTGGTAGATCGGAAGTCCTTGGCGAAGTCGTCATCGTAGCCAAATGGAGAGTTAGTCTTCGGGGATTGTCAGCGTCCAAAACATCGGCCCAACGAAATAGAGAAATTGCTTGACATATCCTCATGTATATCCAGAGAGGTGGAGTGAAGGTAAAGTACAATAATGTGAGACAATGTCGAAATGGTTGTGGTTCCTTTTTTAAGATTTTAGGTAAATTTGGGTTGTAGTACTGTTGGGATGCGGATTGATTAAGAAGGCCATAGTTCTGTTCTGATGAGACCTTTTGCAATATGATTTTGAAAGAACAATCCCTTTCGACTCTTTCTTTTCTCGAAATCCATCCATTTCGGGATATGGTCCTTTCGTCATTCATCTCAGTATACCAAGACCAACACCGCCTGTCCTAATCCTTCTTAGGCGATCAATTAATCTGACTGCAATGCCCCAATGTACCCATTCTGCAGCCTCCAGGCATCCATAACCATCATGGTGCTGTTGCCCGGACCTGGGATATGTTATGTGGTGGTACTGTTTTTAGAGCAATAGGTGATACCCTGGATGTTGTCACGAATCACTGCAATTTTAACCCACGCAAAGGAGATCTGACGGGACAATGCTAAGAAAAAGTGCTGAGCCCTTGATACGATCAGTATTTGAAATAAAGAGTAAAATTAAAGATGCTCTACATCTACGAAAATAATGTGTGAACAAATAGACTTAATCAACCCTTCCCGTTGTGTCACCCGAAGGGTGCCACACATCCAGCCACACTGTGGCGCATCAGCCCTGTATTATCCGCAGCTAAAACTGACGTTATTCACGGCAAGACAATTGAAGTGTTGGAGATGTGTGCTTCTTATTTTTACTAACGATAGCATTTGGAATAAGGGTATTGTCCAGATGCGCTCTATGCTCTTCCAACCTTGAACGAGAGAATCTGCCAGTATTGTCAGTAGTGTGTGTCATCTTATGGCTAGATTGTGTTGAACCTACATCGTTCTTTCCAACAGCCACGGAGTCTTCTTCCGAGACTCGTGTTCCGTTGGATCCCTCTATGTACGCAATCGTCACATCGCCCATAATCTTCCTGGCAACTTCCCCGACAGTCAAGTTCTTCTTGACAAGGACACAATCCCTGAAAACCGATCGAGTATCTGACCCCGATCCAAAAGTAGAGGTACTTCGGACGGGGAATACCGGCACCAGTCCCAGAATCTCTGCTGCTTTGGAAAGAATTTGGACGACACCGGTCGAATTGTATCGGTACAAGATCAAGTCTTTGTACTCATCAATTATGTCCCGGTTCTTTTCATCCAGCTCCTTCAGACCACCACCTTCGGGGTCACCATCATCAATGAGATCTTGCCTCGTCCACACAGAGTCGCCACCTTCTACATACTGAACGTAGCCCTGCTTGGCCATTTTTCTCAAGAAAAGCTCGGCCCTAGCGGAACAGGGTATAATGGGGCTGTCCTTGTACATTTTGCTGATCTTCATGAGATTTGTGTAGGCGTCGGCATCATCGATCTTGTTGAGGGCGATGACGGTTGGGAATTTCTCGTCGGTAAAGGCACTGACGACCTTGTCCACGGTCGCCTCGTCCCAGTCTTCGAGGGGCTCTTTCAGGGCCAGCTTATCCAGAGTCCGTGCTACGAGCGAAGAGGTGCTGCCGTAACCCGAGAATTGGCCTTGCAGTGTCTCAACTGGCGACGCCTTGATCGCGACGTGCCGCCTCTTGATGGAACCCCATCGCTGGTACAGATTGCCCTTGATCCAGGCCACGATTTCACCGCGCAGCCAAGCTATATCCTGCGAGGGGTCATAACCCCGAGTGTTCTCGCCCTCGGCGTTCGTCTTACCACTCGCGTCGACGACGTGGATCAGGGCATCGGCATGTCTGAGATCGTCCAAGAACTTGTTGCCAAGACCCTTGCCTTCATGGGCACCGGGTACGAGACCAGCGACATCGAGGAGTTCAATGGGCACGGAGCGCCGGCCGTCGACACACCCGCCATAGTTGGGCTTGCATTTGTCCTGGAGATTATAGCGCTTGCAAGCGCAGTCAATCTGGAGGTAGCCTATTGCCCTTTGGGGGTCGATGGTGGTAAAGCTATACTCGGCGTGTTAGCCAAGACAAACATGGAATGCTTGATATACCAAGCTTGGTGTTCATGTCTGGGAGGGAGAGGGAAGCAGGCATGCATGCGTACGGGTAGTTTCCTATATTCGGAGGAAGCTCTCAATCAGCGGGGGAGTGTTCTTTGGTTTTTCGCGACGTTGGTTGATAGTAAATGAGGGTCAGAACCCACCGACTTTGGAAGTGGCATCGGTCAAGCTGTTGAGCGTTGTGCTCTTGCCCGCCGATGGCTTGCCCACGAGACCGATAAGAGGATCCCGAGGCATACTGCAAAGCACAGAGTCGGAGTGCGTCCGGGTTTGCGCAAGTTACGCGGCAAGGGTGGGAGATCCGGGCCAACGAGAGTCCGGGGATTGGAGATTGCAATGGACGCTGTGCCAGATATGGTATCGAAAAGTCAGGTATCGGTGTGCCTGTGTACCGTTTTGGGGTGCTCAAGCGCGATTCTAGAGCTGGTCGAAGTGCACAGTCAAACTGCGAAAAGAGTGTGTAATGTCCCAGCGTTGCGCTTGTGCACAATTGTCACCACACACATCATCGTAAGGTTCCGCGGGGCACGAAAAAAAAAAGATTTTGGCTTGGTGGGGGCAGATCTGCATATCGGCTAGGCCCGCCCAAAAATAAGGGACGCGCAATGCTTTTTGCGCGCCAACGGGAATGGCTGGTCGTAAAGAACCTCACACAACTCATCATAACCCTGAAGGTTCTTTTTCTCTCTCAAGGCATCTCGAGCCGCTCCATTGAATACCAAGTCATTCAGGTTCGACGTAATCCAGTATCCGCTCTTGTGACAGTTATCAGGGAAATTAGTCCGCTTCATGGACCACTATGTACTATGTATACGGAGTTAACAAAGGCCGACTCTCAAAATTGCAGGGCATCCCTATTAGTGATTATATCGGCTACCCAAACTTGAAGCAACATCACTAGATGTGAGAAGAAAAACAACCATCTGCCTTGTATATCCCCATTCGAGGCAGATGGTCTCTGCGAGTCTTTGTCACCGAGTCAACTCACCAAGTCTTCTCTTGGTCGGGCCTACTGCTGTGGTGCTATTACGCTAAACGGCCAACTGCCGGCGAGCATTGGGCATAGTGGGCAATCAGAGATTAGTCTCCAGACAAGCACTTCAGACTGAAAATCTTGTTGTGCTCCTCCCCGATCCCGCCTCTCCCGCCTCGGCATGATACATTTCGGGCCATCAACCGTATCGCAAGGCCCTGAGGCTCAGCCTCGCTCTCTTTGCTTGGTTGCCTTCTTTGCCCCTTGCAAAGACCGAATCGGGCCAGGCCAGGACCACGTAAGGCACATGCTGCTGTTGGCCAGGGAGACAGCATATGCAGTGTATTATGAGCACGGCCTCAAGAAGAAGAAAGAAGAAGAAGCCTTTGGGGTTCTCTACACGTGCCTTGGCAAGGACCGGGGTCGCACGAGTTGTCGTACGTCGAGGTCTCAGATAGGAAGCCCAGGGGCCGATCGTCTGAATTCAGTCGAACGCAAATGGGATTTAACTGGAGCCCCAGCTCAATAGTACTCGTTTGCTTCGTCCATTGTTTATGGGCTCCTATCGTTATTACGGTATCAATGTAGTGTACAAAGTACGTACGAATCTATATCGACTTGAAATACAGGTGACATTCAAGATGGAGACTGAAAGAAACCTAGCGTCCATATTCCTTCAATCTCGTGGTTTGAATTGGAAATGAATTTGCATTGACGCGAGCCCAGGTACATCTCGGCCCAGGTATATCTCTGGCCCTGGCATCCATATAGTACGTAGTCTAAAAGCTGATTGCTTGGGTGTTCTTCAGTAAAGTCAGCCTCAATTCCATAACAAGAAAAAATAAACATTTCTGACTGGTGTTTACCATCAATGCATTAAGCTATTTTCTTTGGTTACCTAAATTTGGGCTTTTACTTCAATTTGGGCGTGAAACTTGCCCCAGCCTTCGAGGACATTACGTCGGTGGCACAGCCCAAAAAAAGAAAGATGGAAAAATTTATGCTTGATATGTCTCCCGGATCGGGAGGATTAACTCATTTAGGGATCTAGCATAACAAGTGGGTCCAGTTTCTGTCGTCTGTTCTCCCACATCCCGTCTTGAAACGCCGCCATTCAAAGTACGATGGACTCTTTATTCTACTATGTATTGACAACGTTGGAAATTCCTAAGCCACCATTGGTGCATAAGGCGACGCGGCTCCCCCCTTCGGCCTCCTAGTCATGAGCAAGCTCGCTGCCGGCATCTGAGCCAACTAAAATCCTGGAGGCCGACCCACGATGTGGGACCAGGCGGCGGCACTCTCCCAAGCCCTGCCCGCGGAATACAGGGCCCATGATTGAGACGCGTAATTCTACCCCAGTGCACTCGAGGCTCCCGTGGTCACTGCTCGTTTCCATATCCACAGATGGCCGCTCGCAATGGCAAGAAACATCTCGGCTGCGGGCCTGTTGTTTCTTGGCTGCGTGCCGGCTTCCCCTGTTTGCTGGTCAGAATTCGCGTACAGTCTACGACAGGCGATAACATGACGAATAGCCTTCTCCTTAATTAACGATGATGTGGACTACGCCTCTGGATTACTCAGTATGGCGGGTGAACGGTGGACCCTTTTCGAGTGAAGGAGAAGGCGCTCTCTCTATGAGATTGTGAATATATATAATCCTATATTCTCGCCAAGTTGGAGTATTGATCATCACTCTTGGCCTGAACAACCAACCAACCAATACAGTCGTTTCCTATTTCGATCGCTTTTTATAGCCAAGACACCCATTACACTCTTTTTCAAGATGGTTGCTTTCTCCAAGATCGCCGTTGCCGCTCTGGCCGGCTTTGCTGCTGCTCACCCCGGTGAGAAGCGCGATGAGCAGAAGATGAAGCGTGAGATCGTCGCCCGTGACCACCACGCCCGCAACGGTGCTCGTTCCCTCGCCAAGTGTGGCGACGCCGACTACGCCAAGGCCCTCAAGACCCGTTCCATTCAGCGCCGTGTCGAGAAGGTTCAGAGCCTCCGCAAGGAGCGCGGCATCAAGTCCGGTAAGTCTGCTTTGATATAACTCTCTGCGAGCCGAATGTCGAGACTAACATCATCCCAGCTGCTCGCAAGGACAAGCGTACCCTCGAGGACCTCGAGGCCTACGAGGCCATCAACCACAACATGACCGGTACTTCCGACAACGGCATCTTCACTCCCCTTGAGGAGGTTTTCTCTGCCGACACCAGCTGTATCCTGGCTCCTTACGTCACCGACGGACCTTACTACGTTGCCGGCGAGCTGATCCGCTCCAATGTCAGAGAGGCCGACTTCACCGAGGGTGTTGACCTGTACCTTGAGGTCCAGTACATCGACATCAACACTTGCCAGCCTCTTCCCAAGGTCGCTGTCGACATCTGGAACTGCAATGCTACCGGTACCTACTCCGGTGTTGAGAGCGGCCAGGGTGGTCTGAACACCACTTTCCTCCGTGGTGTTCAGCTGTCCGACCACGACGGTGTTGTTCAGTTCGAGACCATCTTCCCTGGTCACTACGACGGCCGTGCTATCCACACCCACTTGCTGTCCCACACCGGTGCTTCCTTCGAGTCCAACGGTACCATTGGTGTTTTCGACGCTGCTGTCGCCCACATTGGTCAGCTCTTCTGGCCCGATGACCTCCGCGAGCAGGTCGAGTCCACCTACCCCTACACCGATAACACTCAGGCCCTGACCACCAACGATGAGGATATGTGGTCCATCCTCCAGGCTGACGAGAACTTTGACCCGATCCCCGAGTACGTCTACCTCGGTGACTCTATCGAGGACGGTCTGTTCGCCTGGATCCAGATCGGTATCAACGGCTCCGCCGACTACACCGACGATGACTACTACGGCATTGCTGCCTACCTGGCCGAGGACGGTGGCCACTCCACTGGCTACACCGTCGGTGGTGGCAGCGGTGGTGATGCCGGTGGCAACGGTACTGCTCCCACTGGTACCGGCGCCATGCCCACCGGTGCTGCTCCCACCTCTGCTTAAGAAGTTATTCTAGAGTCTAGAATAATTCACTGTCTCTTAAACTTGCTTTTTCATCGTTAAAAAAAAGCCGAGCGGATTGCATTTTTTTCTTCCTATTTTTGCATATAGATGTACATAGAAGTTTTCCACAATTGTGTGTAAATAAATGTATCGAACAAATACTCAAAAGATTTCTGAAAGTTGTGATGTGAAATGCATTTGGATCATAGACGATTGGCTTTCTGGAATAAAAATACAGCCTTGTTTCATGTGACTGGTGACGAGGATCGAAAATCTAGACTCGCCCCACCACCAAGACTGGCGCCCGCATCACTGTTAGCATAACATTTGCGAAGTTTAACACTGTTGCGAAGAAAAACCGGCAATCCGCTACGAGTACAGGATATAACATCGACCTACGCCAAGGAGATTTTCTTGGGTCTGTACACCCCTACTATACAAGTCCAACGCTCAATACGAACCAGTGAGGCATTTCAACAGCCATAGGACAAGACACAAATCACCGGAGCTTTGCCATCATGCGTCGCGGCGATCACTTGGCGGCAATCAAAGCATTCCCGCAGTGGTGTGCTTACAATGACGCCCAATTGCTTGATATAGTCTTGGCCACAGACAGCGAGAGAGGCAATCACTTTAGACCAACTAGAGACCTTGGCACTGATGAGGGCAATGAAGAACCGCCATTGCTCCTTACGGTACCAAAGGATATGGTCCTCTCGGCCGAGGCTATTCAGCAATACGCAAAAGTTGACAAGAACTTTCGTGACATCTACGATGCAGCTGGTCATCAGGTAACCATTGTAGCACTTTTGATAAGATTTTCTAGCATCTCTGCTCACCACGTCCACAGTCACATCGTATGGATACTCTATTGTTTCTGCTGTTGCAGTACATCTATTCCTCTCCGGACTTCCAGGGACATAAGGGCGGCGCCTCTTCTTGGACATGGTACTTTGATGTCTTGCCGTCTCGCATTCCTGTGCCGACCATGTGGTCGGATGAACAATTGATCTACCTTCGAGGAACATCTCTTGAGGTGAGCTATCATTGATGCATGCGAACAAGCGAAAGCTCTGCAAATCAGCGTTTGACACTTGACGACTAGGATGCGGTACCTGCAAAGCTGCAGGCTTTGGGAAGAGAATTTGATCTTGTCCGTACCGAGACTGAGAAGATCCCATTTTGGCGGGAGTTTGTGCATGACAAGGAAATCATCACAGCGGGTGACTGGATTTACCTCGATGCCCTGTATCGATCACGTACACTGGAGCTTCCCAGATCGGGAGAATCCATGGTCCCGATTTTAGACATGGTCAATCACTCAGCGGATGCCAATGCTTATTTCGACGAGACTGAAGATGGTGAAGTCAGGCTTCACATCAGGAGGGGCCATTCCATCCGGGCGTCCTTGCCCGAGTACTCGCTTACTGGTGGTGGTGACGAGATTACAATTGATTATGGCCAGGGCAAGTCTGCAGCAGAGATGCTATTCAGCTATGGGTTCATCGAGCCGGGGACCTCAGCAAAGAGCCTCATGCTTCAGCTCGAAGCCATGGACGATGATCCCCTTGCCAAGGCCAAGTTGCTCCTATATCATAACCATGAAGGAGCACCACGACTGAAGATCGAGGATTCGGATGACGGCGTCCCAACTTGGAGCGCGCCATTTGTTTATCTCATGTGCTTGAATGAAGACGATGGGATAGAGTTTCGGGTTCTTCAGACAGTCGACGGGGATCGTCAGCTCAAGCTCTTCTGGCAGGACGAAGACGTGACAGCCAAGGTTGCCGACTTTGAAAGCCTTATACAGGGACATGAGTTGGAGCCCATCTTTCGTCTACGGGCCACAATGGTCATTCTATCCCTACTAGGTGCACAAATGGAAAACTTGACAGCTCCTATAGATTATGCGATGGAACAGAGCGATCCAGGGTCTTTTTCCCCCACTGCAAGCATCCTGCAGCTACGCGGAGCCGAGCTTGATCTCCTGTCGAGGACATTGGCCGTGCTGGAGGAGCAGGTAAGATTCTTTGTCTCGTTTGTGGCTTACACCTGAAGTGCGACTGTCATCCCAACAGACGTAGATCCCCGAAGGACAACATGACGCCTGCATTAGACCTGACTTGCTAACGCATCCTGCAGAGAGACGGACTTGTGGAAAATGATAGGGTCAAGGCCTATCTCGGATCGATGGAAGCATCCCCAAATGAGGAGGTGCCTGGCCAGCCTACCAATAACGAGGACGATTTCAGCTAGGATCAGTTGGTAGAATCCCTCACCTCCACCATTCCCTACGCCCAAGTAGGTTAGACAGGAGGACCTCCAGATTCCCAAGGGACCAAGGGACAAGAAAGGAGTGCAGATACTGGAAAGCTTGATACTGAATCATGCACAATGCGATAACTTTCCGGAACGTCCATCCCCAGATTTTCGAATTTACACTACTACCATGCGAATGAGATGGCATTTGCTAGTGCGAAAGACTCAACGAGACCTTGTCATCTCACAATAGACCTTGCTCGATATGGTCACGCGCATAAGTATTGCGTGGCCTCTGGTGTATGTCGGTCTAGGAGGCGATTCTACTCGACTCTAATAATTCCTTTGTCTTTCTGTTCAACGGTCTTTAACCCAACAGACTTGCGACCAAGGCGTCGACCCGTCTCACTCGTGTTTATGTCCGGACCGTCGTGCCTGAGAGTGTATGCATGTTATCCAAAAAGTCGGTAGTGGTACAGCCAAGGATACGGCACTGATTGGGCTGTTCCTGCCTACAATGTACAGCAATATATGGATACTACCTATGTACAGAATGAATTGCGGGCTGCCTTTGAGCCACGAGTCCAGCCCTGGAGCTCGCCAATTTACCCCGGTATGGGGCTCCGAATTAGCCGGTGCGCACCCCGGGCGGCTTGTTTCTTTCCACATGGAGGGGTCAAACGGCCTTTTTTTTTTTTTTCCCCTCGGGCGCTGGATGGAAACACTTGCCAGAAACAAACAAGCTTTTCCCTCAAGACCCGTCAAATGTGTCGAAGGAGATGCAGATGGGTGACATTGTAAAAGCTGTCGAGTCGAGCAAGCGAGTCTTGCCCCAACATCACCAGTGTAGAGCTTGAATTTTCCTTCGCCTCAACGCGATTGATGCAACTAGCAGTGTGAGGCGCCCTAATGAACAGCATCTGCCTACTCTGGATTTTTCTCCTTCTTTGAACCGCAGGTTGAAGAACGAAGTGGCTGCTTTCAAGGCATACTCAAGGACAATGTCACACCCATGACTTCATGGAGGGTTTTGTACCAACAAGTTTTGGCCAAAGCGTTCGTTCCATGTTGGGACGAAATTCCCACGTGGATCATTTCTTCTACTCTGTACACACCCAATTTAGAGTATTTGGCAACGACGCTCTCGCCTCCCAATGTTTTTTGTCTGCTGTTGGAGACCAGGAACATCCATCTGAACGGTGATGGGCTGCTGACTCGAGCCTACACGTCTGGCAGGTAAACGGCTTGAACGGTGTCCGAGGCTACCGCCATGCCTATTGTTGGTTAAGAGTGAAGCGACGGAGATGATCTTAATACGGCCCAAGTGGGCATTTAGCGGAACGTGGCCGAGGGGCGGCCCTCAGGGGAGAGGAGAGCTAAGCTTGCCCAACGCTCCAGCTGCATGCTGTGAAACTATACCGCATCTCGATTGAGATTCATGCACCTGCAATCAATCTAGCGTTAAGTGGCATGGATCGGTGAAGCGGCGCTACTCATGGCAAGAACTTTAGGTCGCTTACAGCGTGTCAGAACGTATAATTTCCTCGAGATGACGGGCTGCCAACCTGACGGATTCATCTTTACTAGAAGTTGATGGCGTCCTGGTCTACAGTTGGCCGGCCAAATTGCCAACCTGGCTGGCTTGCAGGAAAACGGTGAGAACTGGTCATTTGAGCAAAGCAATTCTTCCAAATGTTCAGCCCACCGGAGCAAAATGGCTGGGTCAGAGGCAAGTATACTTCGTATAACAGCCACAGCGATGAGTACGTCGCATCATCTCAGCGAAGAGCGCTGGTATTGCGGAATTAAGTGCTGCCACCAACCAGGGAAGCACTCTCATTTGTCGATCTTTGGTCGTAAAAGAGCCGATACAGTTCGCCTCGAGTCTCCAAGTGGCAAGAAAAATCCGAGGGCGAGGATCCCGAAATCTGGGGTAAACTTGGTCTTGTCTCGTGGCAGGGGACTTGGGGGGAAAGTTGAGCGAAATCACCAACCACGCGGACGGAGCTGGGATGTGAAGCCAGTCGCAAGCCAGTCAGCGGATGAAACAGGAACAAACTCGCAAGTATTGATGTGGTGTGTTTCTCATAGAAGCAGTACCAAATCGTTCTTCGTCCTGGAGAGTGATGAGTGCCAATGTGCACAAATGCCGGCTTGAGACTAAGACGAGCCCACGTTGATCCCCAGTCCTAGCGAGGTTTAGATTGGACCATGACGCCTATACTATACCAGACCAAGCAGCCAGGTCATACCACCACTATGCGTCAGACAATAAGTCGGAACATGTTCTAACGGGGAACTAGAGAAACTTGGAGTAAGTATGTACGGCAAAAAGGAGGATTCGGATCTCGCAAACTCTAAAGACAGACACGTTAACTATTTTCGATAGTGCAAAGGACAATACATTGCCCTACAGCCCCTTCCCTCGCCAAGGTACCTACCCTACATGCCCTACCGTTAGGTCGATCATCCATTGATGATGTCTTTCTTCAGAGTGCACTACATCTTAATGTACATTACATACGCTACACTACCAACCTAGGGCACTGATGAATAAAAATACAATGACCAGAGGCAAAGGGAGGGCACTTTGCACGCCTTACCACTGCCAAGCCTCTCTCCGTCTCTTCCAGTGTCCGTCTTCCACATCCCTGCAATCAGAATCAGTGAAATGCCCTTAGCAGGCATCAATACATGGGAAATGTACCCCCAAGGTAATGTAGCAAGCCTGAGATGTACCGTACCTACTAGAGCTCAGCGCCCCTCATTGACCCTTGGCCTCCCCCGGATTTCTGAAATCTAGCCGGCTTGATTGGCCGACAAGTACGACGGCGGCCCCAGCATTATGGAGAGTTCTGGCAGGTCCCCTTTGGTCTGCCCCCATGGCGCAACGCCCTTGGCAAGCTGGGTGGGTTTTCCTTTACATAGTCTTCTTTCTCCACATTCGCCAGTCCCCCGTCTCTTTTCCAGCTTTCCACGTTTCATTTCATTCGTTTCCCTACCCGTCAAGACCGACCTCGCCGTCTCCAGAACACCTACCCCGGATTTCCTGGATAGCTTCCGAAACACCATCGTCAAAAGAGCTGCTGGTCGCGTGATGACACAGTAAGAGTTGCTACTTCTATAGCCAGGGGCCACAGCAACAGACTCGTCTCGCCAGGTTTAAGCATACGCGGGTCTTGGGGCATGCGCGGCTTCTGCGGGGACTAGCTGAACTCTCGCCGACGCGGTATACTCAAGTCATTCTCGCGGCCGCCATCGGCCCTTTGAAATACTCCCGAGAGTCTTGAATGATATTATCTTGTTCCCAGACTGGCTTCTAAACACAAGGACCAACGGTAAAAGGAGGCAACTGCGTCGTCAAGATGCCTGGCATACTGCCCATGAAAGTGATCAAAGTCGGCACCAGCTCGCAGAGTCGGATTGCTCAGGTAAGACTGATAAGCCCATGACGGCAATTTCCACATTCTGTGTACCACGTGCTCACACTTCCCAGGCCTGCGATCGGTGTCGGAGTAAAAAGATTCGCTGTGATGGCATCCGCCCGACTTGTTCGCAATGTGCCAATGTCGGGTTCGAGTGCCGCACCAGCGACAAGTTGAGCCGGCGCGCATTTCCGCGCGGCTACACAGAGTCCCTTGAGGAGAGGGTGAGAGCCTTGGAAAGTGAAGTCAGAGAGCTCAAGGATCTTTTGGACGAAAAGGATGAGAAAATCGACATGCTGTCCAAGATGCACAGTCACCACCACATTCGTCGGATCTCACATTCGCCTGCCACGAGCCCGGCGGCTTCGGTAGCGCGGGAATCCGCAAGGGAACCTTCGCCGGCTAAGGAGGACACATTCCGTGTTCAAGCGTCGCCGTTGTTGCTAGGAGTCGAGAACTCGGACTCATATTTCATGGGACCCTCCAGTGGTCGCTCATTCATAGGTATGCATGCAGCTGTCTTGCTTTTGATGCTTTACTCCATCTAACCCTCCTCTACAGAGGCTTTCAAGCGCAAGATTCAGGAGAATGGAAAGGCTTGCTCCGACTTCAACCCGGAGGCCTTCCTACATATTCAAGGATGCTATCCCTTGGTCACACAAACCCCCTCCTCCTCGATAAAGATTCCCCCACGGCTCTTTTCCGACAGGTGTGTCAACATTTACTTCCAGGAGTGGGCACCACTATTTCCAGTACTGCACAAGCCGACGTTCCTGCATGTCTACGAGGAGTTTGTTGCCGACGCAGACAAATTGAAGAGCCACCACAAGATCGCTCAACTCTATCTGGTATTCAGCATTGCCGCACTATCGAGCGACTTGCCAGACACGGAGCAGATCGCCGCCTGCGAAGTGCAGTGGCAAAAGGCACTAGACGCCATCCTCATGGAAAACACCATGAATACTCTCCAATGTTTGATCCTTGCTTTGATGTATTGCACTATCCGTGCAGACTATAAACGCTTGATTCACTACAAGGGCGTTGCCATAGCTCTATCGCACCGTCTAGGCCTTCACCAGAGCCAGAAGCGATTCTCGTTTGGCGCCTTGACGATTGAGACGAGGAAGAAGGTGTTTTGGACCTTGTATACGCTGGACTGGTAAGTCAATAATGGTTTTTCCTGCTAATCCATCATCATCACTGACTTTCCCTAGTTTCTCGGCTGCAATGCTTGGTCTCCCCAAGGTGCTGAAAGAGGAAGATATTCATGCCGAGTACCCTTCAGACTGTGACGATGAGTATGTGACTGAGAAGGGCTTCCAGCCGACTTTGCCTGGTGAATACACAAGGTTGTCGAGTGCACTGGCGCTATTCAAGGTATCCCGCATCCTTGCCAAGGTCCTCGAAAAGAACTATCCCGCCGCCACATCCTACGACCTGTCACTACAGCAGATTTCGATGCTGGATTCAGAACTCTCAGAGTGGAGCGAGAACCTGCCTACCCATCTGAAGTTGACCTTTGCTCAAGACAAGCCTTCGACAGATGTCACAGGCAGTCGCTCGCCTGTTTTGGTAAGTCCCGTTGATATTTATTCAAGAAATCCGACTAATCATTGACAGGCATTGGCGCTCTATTACATTCGCACATTGATACATCGTCCAGCCGTTGGCTCAAGCCTGGGCCCCAAGGCTGCACCATCACTCATCGCGCTTGGCGAGTCCAGCAAGCACATGATTCAGATCGTTCAACTGCTGGAGGAGCGAAGCATGTCATTCTCCTTCTGCTTGAACAAGACGGATGTGTTAATGTTATGCTCCATGACACTCCTATACCAGACACTCGACCTCAAGCACGAAAGCAAGCTTGTGAAAGATGCGGAGCGATTGGTCAATGGCGTCCTCAAGGGACTGATCAAGTCCAAGGCCCCGGGATCGGCCAACTTACAACGTGTGGCCTCGTTGCTCATCACTGTAGACGCGCCGATGTCGCCACCTTCCGCTCGTGGCAGCCCAGAGTCTGTTGCATCTACGGCACAATCTTTGCGAGCCTCACTTCAGCAGGTCAACCTTTCCAGAAACAAGCCTCTCTACTCGCTCGGGCGCAATTCGATTGCTAGTGTAAGCGAAACCGATTTGCTGTCTCAGCAGGAAAAGCTACGCCGCATGACCGCACCACAGTCTACCATGGTCCGCCCCGAGCTCTATCGATCACAATCACGCGCTTCCTTTGATGATGCCTCGACGCCACGGCCGCATGAGCACCGGCAGCACAGGTTCTCCTTGTCCCAGATTCAGCAAAGTATGATGAGAATGTCCTCGGCACATAAGAAACGGACAAACCTCGACTACCTGTCGCTGAGCAACACACCGGCCACGACGGTGCCACCGTCTCCAATCCAGTCTAGGACTGCCGTTCCACAACCACAATTACAAGCAAAAACTCAGCAAGCACAATCACCAGTCTATCCATCGTCTTCGATAGCACCGCCCAAGGGCACTTCATCGAATGGAATGTCGAATTCCGAATGGGAGTCCTTACTGGGCGCTCTGGACGGTGGACAGGCTAACCTGTACGATGCCATTTATGGCGGTCCGGCACTCTCACTTGAGACACCACCACCAGTCCATACGAATTTTCCAGACTGGTCGCCGGACTCGTGGAATTTGTCCGGCTTCAACCTAGGTGACGTGAACTCAAGCGCGCCGCCACCGCAAAGCGTACTCAGTTTCAGTGACGAGAGTCTCAGTTCCGGCGATGAATTGCCTGCCAGCGATGTCTATTTCAACATGAATGACGACTACCGCGGCAGCCTACTCCATCCCAATCGACCTTCTACGGACGGGTTGATACTCATAGACGGACTACCTTTGGATTTAGGTCTTTGAAATAAGCGATTAGGAAATGCGATACTGTTCTCTTTGGTCTGATGATTCAATGAAGATATGGAGGGTAAATCGGGAGGCATTTGCAAAGTAGTATATACAGGTTTGGAGCTATCATGGGGGTTTTACGAATTTTGGCTAGGTCTTAATCCGAATTGCGTGGGAAAGGACCGGATTGAACAAGTTCCCATGGGCGAGATGGCGTTCATATCGACTCTATATATTTAGATAACCTGTACGGCTTTAAAAGAATACAATGGTGAAATACACACGACCAGAGCTCCTTGTACGAAACCATGGGATTCATCAGGTGTATAGGTTTGGTAGATTAGCTTACGGGTTGGGGATTATCCTGACTCGGACCAATTTGATATGTCTAAATTTTGGCTCTTGCATACCCGTAGGCACCAGACGGCTACGCGGGCACTAGAGATTTAGCACCACTTCCGTAATAAGAGTTCTAAAATTAACCACATTGAGTATTATCTATAACCCTTTTAAAAGGTGTTCAGGGGACTGACTGTATACAATCACCTTTGAAAATGCCTTGTGCAGTTGCCAGTTGTTATGTAATTGCTTGAGCTAGGACTTACTCATACCAAAGTAGAGCCATGACCCTCTTTTCTTACGTATTTCTAGGCGACATTCGGCAATGTCGGGGTGTGACGTCAAGTGTCTCCTTGATAACACGGACTTTAAAGGAAGTTTTTCCTTTTCTTTTCTTTCTGAACTCGGATTTTCGCCAGGTTCCGAGACTCCGCGGTTATGTTCTTTGTAACAGGGAAATGTAAAAGACATCGCGGCTGTAAGCGGACTTAAGAAACCGGAATACTCTGCCATTGACACAAGGTGGGTAGCGCGGCGCGGCGCAGCTCTTCCACTCTCTCTCACTTTCTCTTTGCTCGCTTCCGTCTCTCGCTATCTCTCGCTATCGCACCTGCAGTTTTGTGAGTGAGGGGTCATGTTGCCGTTCCGTATTTGGAGGGTTTCTATCTACCTTTAGTTCCCCAGATGTATATGGTAGAGGCAGGGTAAATGCACGGGGGAAGGAAAGCAGGGGGCTCATTTAAGGAAATGTACCTTGAGCTAGGACTTCTTGGCCCGGGATCTTGGCGACCTTATTTCCACCCAAAAGAATCCACACGTGTGTGTGTGCGTGCTGCTTTTCTGGGGGCTTTGTTACACACCAGAGCTTCAAGTTCTTCCATATTAATCGACGTTCCCTTGCTGACTTATTTTTTCTTTATTTTTTTTCTTTATGTTCGTGCTTTAAGTTGATCATCACTTCTTCATTCTGGGCGGGTAGACTGTAATTTGACGAGCCAAGACCAATTCAAGAGAGACTTTTCCGAAAGGTTTCAGCACAGCTCAAGCAGCAGCCAACTCGGTGGCCCAAGGCAAGGCCATCTGCCAAAAGAGCAGAAACGGATACAGCAATGACGGTCCCAAATGAGTCGACGCGTCTGCTCAACTCGAATTACAAGAGTATGGGCAGTACTACACCAGGTGTGTCCGCGTCCTCTCCGCGGGCTCTTTGATCTGATACTAATGAGGCCTTGGGGGGAAAACTAGCGGCGCCGTTTGCATCGGCATTGACAATTTCGTCGCAAATTGCTGCCGAGCAGGCGGCAGACGGCACCACCACCAATGGTGACGGATCAGCAGCGGCGACCTCGGAGGCTTCGTCCATCCGGCTGCCGCAGGCTATAGCGCATCGCGGATACAAGGCCGCCTTTCCAGAAAACTCTCTGGCGGCTTTCCGCAGCGCCGTGGAGATTGGCGCCCACGCTATAGAGACGGACTTGCACCTATCCAGAGACGGAGTTGTCGTCTTGTCGCATGTGAGTTTGTTTTTTCTTTCCCACAACTGGTCTTGGATTTATATAGGCGATATTGGCACCGTGTTGGATTGATTCATACATGACCATGTAATCTGCAATACCAGGACAGCACAGAAGAGAACAAGGCAGAAGCCGGGGGGCGAGATTTCTTTTTCTTCAAGGCCGAGCTAGGACTGACATTCTACGCCAGGATGCTTCGCTCAAGAGATGTTTTGGCATTGACAAAAAAGTCGCCGACTGCGACTGGTCCTATCTGAGTACTCTGCTCACATTGCGTGAGCCCAAGCAATCGCTGCCACGTCTGATTGATCTGCTCGAGTACCTCGCAAAACCAGATGCAGAACACATGTGGTTATTACTTGATGTAAAGGTATGGCTGATTTGATAATTGCTTGTATTGCCTGGAGTATCTTCCTTTTATGCAAGGGCTATCAAAACTGACCATCTCTCGTATAGACGCATGATGATGCCAACCAAATCCTGGCCGGCATCGCAAAAGCCATAGCCTCTGTGCCCTCGAAACGACCTTGGACTGATCGCATCATGGTCGGCTGCTGGGATGTACGTTATTTCGTCCCCCTCCTTTAAATCCATCAAGTTATTTTCTCGTGCCCGACTGACATAAATACAGGCCAACTACGTCAGGCTGTCCCTCAAACACCTTTCCGGGTTTCCCTTGGCGTACATTGGCGCCGACCTGGGCTACGCCAGCGCCCTGCTCCACGCCGTCCCCCACATGAACTTCAATCTGCTGCAGACCGTGGTCGCGGGCCCCTGCGGCCGGCGCTTTCTGCTCAAGGCCCGCCGCCACGGCCGTGCCGTCTTTGTCTGGACCGTCAACACCGTCGGCTGGATGGAGTGGGATATTCGCCACGAGCTCGACGGCGTCGTCACGGATGATCCCAAGCTGTACCTCGAGGTCTGCGATCGCTGGAAAGACCAGCCCAATGGGCAGAGCAGTGGGCCCGTAGAGAGGAAAAAGGTAGAGCAGCGGGCCAAGAGATATGCCCTTTGGACTCCACGAATGATCTTTGAAATGTCGTTGCTCACATTGTTGGTGGTAATATTTCTAATCTTCCTTAGGCTGAGATATGGCATGCCAAAGAAACGAGTAGAGAAGTCTCTTAGTGGTTAGTTCAAGTCTTGATGAATGGAATATCGGTAAACATATCGGGGCGATGAGATGTATAGCGTCATGTACTTGATAGAGTTTGGAGGGACTGCCGCTGCCGCGGGTATAGATATACCGCCAGAAAGGTCATTACCATGTATCAATGGTCTGACCGGAAAAGATGTACTGGAATTCACGTCTTCCGCTTTAAAGACTTGTGTTATATTAATTGCATCCCACTTGTTCGGTCAAATGGGTTCGATGACTGAAAACAACACATTTATGGTCGAGATAGTAATAGTGTGCCATTAGCAATGTTCATTTGTTTTGCTGACACAGGCACACTACCATTTCCAATGTATGTGAATGTGCATCTTTGGTATTTTCCATGCTTTGCTTTGCTCTATCTCAACCGTCGCTTATTGTAAACCCGAGGTTGTCCAAATCTTGACCGCAGCATCTCCACCTGTGCTTGCGACCTTGTCGCCCGTTAGCCAAGCCACGGCATTCACCCCATCCTTGTGTGCATTCAGAGCCTTTACTCTGCTTCCTGGCTTCGAAAGACTCCAGACAAATACATTGGTGTCGAGAGCTCCACTGACAGCATGTGTGCCAGCTTCGTTCCACGAGATGCTAGTAACCCTCGCAGTATGTGCTGACCATCTGTCCGTTGCAATTGAGAGGTCCGCGGTCTTGTAAGCAAAGATCTTGCCTGATGTGTTGCCGGCCGCGAGATGCGAGCCGTCCCTGGAGAATGACACGGCCGAGATTTGCGCAGTGCTGTTCTTTGCCTCGGCGGACTGCGAGAGTTTGTTGGACGAGTCTACCTGGTAGACACGAACAGCATTGTTGCTCAGACCAACGGCGACGGACGAGCCGTATGCTGCAATGGATGTCGGCTGCGCATCAGAGATATCAAGCTTGCTTGCAAGAGTATCCTTGACATAGACTTCTACTCCGGATAACGTTGCAACATATGTGCGTCCTTCGGCGGAAGCTACTCCTTTGGGCTGCCCAGAGAGCTTCAGAGACTCGCCGGCAAAAGTGGTTGCCGACTCGTCAATGATGCGCAGAGTGTCGTCCCAGCCCACACTGTATCCTCTGCCGGCGCTCGAAGAGATTTGGCTGACTTGGTTTGTATGCGTCTGGCCATCGACCACGGATCCAACACCCGATGAAACCTCCCAGCTCAACACACGGCCTTCGAAACTTCCTGTCAAAAGCTTGGAGCCCTGTCCACTCGAGTCTGCAGTCATGGCTGTGATGCTCTTGTTGTGTCCTTGCACGATCTTGGAAGGTTCCGGCTTGCCCTCGTGCAGGTATGTCAGATCGCCATCCAGGTTGAGACTTATGATCAGACCATCACTTCGGCCGTGAGGCCATACAACGCCAACTTGTTGGTCGGCCACGCTGGCACCTTCGCCAAGCTTCCACGACTGCGTAACCTGTCCGGCCTCGACATCCCACACCTTTACAGTCTGGTCTGCGCTGGCCGTGACAATCTTCTTGCTGTCCTGGCTCCAGCTCACAGCAAAGATACTGCCCGTGTGCTCACCCTCGCCAAAGGTCCTTGTCGGCTCTCCCGTCTTGCCGTCGTACAGCTGGATCTTCTTGTCGGCGCCCACCGTCACCAAAAGGTTGCCATCCGGGGAGAACTGGGTGGCAAACACGAATCCCTTGTGGATACCACTGTGCTTGCTGTTGAATTTGAAGGGGGCGCCGTGTAGGAAGCACAGGGCCATGTCGTCACTGACGGTGGCGGCGCGCAGGGGTCGCATGCCTCGAATGGCGACGGCATTAATGACCTTGCTGTGTCCCGAGACCTCGCCGACGCTGTTGCCCGAGTCGGCCGTGATGCAGTGGCCGAATCGTTCGCGGCCGTCGCCAACGGCAATGATTCGCTGGCTGTCGCCGTCCCAAGCGATGTCGTTGATGCGACCCGAGATGATATGGTACTCGCCCTTGGTGTTGACGGCCTCGACGGCGTCCCAGACACGCACGGTGCCGGAAGCATCACCCGAGGCCACCCAAAAGCCCGACGGCGAGAACTTGGCTACGGTCGTGGCCGTCGTGTGGCCAGTGTACTGCTTGCATTCCGAGGGGTTGTCGATGGAGCGGAGGAAGATAGATTTGCCAGACTGACCAGAAACTTGTTAGCCACGAGTTCATGAGACAAGTACATGTACGGCGTGTTTATGCAATATCAGATGCTAATTTGGGTGTTTAGAAGAGCCAACGGCGACTTACAGCATATGCTAACCTCTCACCCTTTGGGTCGGTGGACAGCTGTGTAGGCTGACCCCGCGAGGTTGCGGGAGTCGCCGCGAGGATCTTCTCGATCGAAATGGACATATTTTTGAATTTGCTCAATCCTTTATGCAGTGCCTAGCTGATTGAAAGATGCGTTGGCTCTGGGATCTTGCTGGGTTTAAATAAATAGGGGAGGGGGGTTTGAGAAATGTAGGAGCCTATTCAGACGCTCCAGCTTGGATTGGCGGTAACTCACAAGCCAAGCCCATGTTTACCCTGACGTACGTCGGAGGGGTTCAGGTAGTCGCAGCACGTTGCCAGGGGGCAGGGGCCATTGATGCTTGCGAGTCGCGCGACTTGGTCTGCGGGGCAGTCAGTCCCGTCCCACCTTATTACTAGATTGGCGCCTGAACGACCGTGGAATCATGGTTGATGGGCATTGTGGCTTGCTATCAATTCAGGGCATGCGACTACCATATTATAGTAGCTCTCCTGCATAAGCACGACGCTGACGATGATGTCCTTGAAGCCGCCAAAGATGCCTGAAAAGTTGTTCCACTGTAAAAGGTAACGAGCAATCAATAACAGTCCGGCTGTGTTATGGTTTGCCAATGAAATATCATTTGGTGGTTCAGCGCTATAAGAAGAGAGTGAAAGCATCTTGTGGTGTCTTGTGTTCATTCATACTACTTTGCACTAAGAAGCATAATCGATTAAACAGCGGCGTCTATCACATCTCGCAAAGACTTATTCGCCCAGGTCTCTCCTATTACCTTCCAAAGCTGTTCATAGTTCTCCTTCTTGTCCAGCTAATGGGTATGAGTTCTGTGAGGCGCGGGCAGAGATCTGGTGCGTACATTACTGGATTCAAATCTACGCTATATGGTACATAGGTGCAAGCTACAAACACTTGGGCGCCCGGCTTTCAATGTTTCTTCACAGGCATCTATTGGATATCCTAGTCAAAATCGTCGTACATCCGATTTTTCACCCATTGAATCCCCTTCATCTCCCACGACTGCTTCTCCGGGGTCCAAGCCGGGTCAAACGTTTTCATGTACTCCGTGGACATTCTCGATCTGGCCACTTTCATGATCAATGGGCACATAACCATTAGAACCGTATGAATGGTGAATCCGTAACCCACAAATGCACGATCCAGAGCCGTCAGATTGCCATCCCCTCCTCCGGCTGGGAAGCGCCCGATCGTGAAAAGGGCGATAGTTATGAGATGCGCGAGGTTCCACACCCAAGCGAGGTGGATAAAAAAGGACTGGACAATTGCGAAAAAGTTCATGACGAGCTTAAGAATCACGCCGGCTCGCGAAAGCGCTGATAATTTTGCGTATGTGGTCGCGAGAATGGCGATACCGAGGCCAGTGGTGCCGAAGTATAGTAGCAAAGGGACTGCTACGTTGCACACAGCTAAAAGAACCCAGAGAGCGCCGGTACCTTCCAAAGGATCAGGACGTTGATGTTCCAATACCTCATCTTCCATGATCTCTGCAAAACTGAAATTAATAACGGGTGCATTGTTTCCTGGGTTGGTAGGGAGTAGCAGGTGCTTACCTCGCTCAATATGTATCCCCCAAGATTTAGGTAGAGCCTTTACTTCTCGAGCTGGCATCTGCGCTAGATCGTGAGAGATACTCTGTACATCGTGGACATCAAGATCCACGAGAGTTGCCGTCATGGGACAGTCGTACACAATCCGCAACTTGCCACTTTTGCTTTCTAGCAGATCATCCAGTGCACTGGAGTCTGGTCGAGTAGAGACCAAGTCTACCCCATCAGCACGGGCCGTGTGATCAGGTTCGGAGACCTCCTTTTCAGAGTTCGAGCTGTCCAATTGTTCGTACGTGATACGATTGGCGCGAAATACTGCACCAGACACTTTTTGACAAGCAATGTCAGTTCCCTCCAAGAGCTCACGACACGCTCGATCGCTGCTTATTTGGAAAGAAAAGCAAAGAAGCCCAGCCTCTTGCACGGCGAACGTGTCTCCAGGCCTCCGATGAAGCTCGATGATGGCTATTTTGTCCTGCGAAGGATATCGCACAATGAAACGAATTGGTGGTGGCTCTTGGCGCTCCGTCATGAGGAATTCCACCCCATTCTCTTGACCTTCGCCCGGGCCTAAGTAATACCCTCCCTCCGTGACCTTCAGCCGAGGTGCGTCTGATAGCATGTTTCCTGCAGGGTAGAGAGGGAGCCAGCGGTCTCGATCTTTTTCAGTAGGACCCGCCCTGGGGATCGTGGAGTTCAGAAATAGTGAGAGGGGTAAATACTTCAAGCTGTTGAGAATAACACGCATCCTGTCTTGCGGCTTCTCCATCTGGAGTATGGTGTGTGCGCCAAGACGGAGTAGGTTGGCGAGAATAACGTGGATATCCTCACGCTTCGTTGTTGTTCGCACGCTTAGTTCGTTCCAGCATCGAACAAGCTGGTCAAATGCTACTTGTGCCTCGGACTGGATTTGCGGGTCTAGCAACGCCACTGATGTGTTATTGGTGTTCGTTGATAGACGCGTTATGAGTGGCCGTGATATTGTTGCAACGATGGCAGTCTCAACGTCATATAGCATAGACGCGTTGAACCTCAATCTTCGCTTTACGAAGAGTTTGAAGAGTACAGCGCTTGCCAATTCACGGGTGAGATGCAGAAGCGTAGACTCGAGATGTTCTCCCAGCCAGGTGCTGTATCCAACCTTCATTCGCAAAGGATTCAGTCGACCGTCAGAAAATTGGAAGTTGAGGAGCCCCGCCAAGCAGCCTTCTTGGAAGGTCCAACATCTCCCCATCCATGGGCTGACTTCTAGTCGAGCAATCTGCTCGCAAATTTTTGAGTCCTGGATTGAAGTGTGGGCAAAAGATGAGTCGAGCACAAGAACTTCGTAGGCAGAGCTATAGATCGCGGCCATCTGGTTGATGGCACGGAATTTAAGGTCGTCGAACTCCTTTCCAACTGGAATGCAAAGTGTGTCTAGCCAGAAATAATTGGCAGGTTTGTTCAAGCTGCTCGTTCTCCGAAAGTCAAAGTTGAAAGTGGGATACGAGTACCAGGATGATTCTTCCGGAGGCTTCGAAGCGTCAACGTATTCTTGTAATCGTCGTATCTGGCATTCTGGAAGCGAATTGGCTTTGGGATTACCCAAACCATCAGACCAGACGTGGGAGAACGCAACGTAACGCGTCGCTGTGTTCATTCGCGTCACCTCAAGAACCGGGGGTTCGCCTACGGCAACCTCTTTCGCCCTCACCACTGGTATGCCGCCTGCTCTGATGATCTGGCGCATTTCATCGTCAGGGAAAGATAGGTGCGAGCATGAACAGCCCGGATGAACATGTCTCGTGACGTAGTTACTCATGTCGACATTGTTGGCCACACACTCTGTCTCCGTGCATGATCCATGGTTGAGCTGGGACGACTTCTTGAACAGTCGACTGAAGTAATACACAGTTGCATAATCATGCGACGACAAGATATGCTTAATCTTGAACGGGCACCACCCTTGTTGTCTCATTTGCTGTCGGAGTAGCAATTCAACCGACGACACCGGTGGGACTTTTTCATTTTCATTTTCTTTTTCATTCCCGTCATGCTTCCAATCTAGTTGCTTCCGTTTCCCACCCGCCAAAAGTATCATTATTCCAGGGGAGGGAGTTAGGATTTCCGTAAGAATGCCACGCAACGTGGTGCATAAGACTGTGATCGATAACACAATTCTTGGGATCGTATCAACCTCCAAAGCTTGCGGTAATCGTTGCAGCTCATCACAGGTGTTCAACACTTTGCCGAGGAATTCATAACACCTTTGAAAGTCCGACCACAGAACATCTTCAGTCAGGCCAGAATCGATCGTCGCATTCTCGTCCATAAATGCCGGGTTAAGAACAGGCGCAACCTTAAAGCGCAGCCACTCGTCCAGCAAAGTCTTAAATGGCACTGCAGTTACAAGCTTCGTCACAAGGACTTTTTCCTCCACTTGCATCTCTCCAGTATATTCGAAATGCCGAAAATCGACAGGTTTCCCGAGGAACTCGGCCATGACGCCAAAATAAAGCCATGATTGAGCGAGTGCGGCGAGGTCGTGCGCTCCCAACTCGCGCCAGTCGCCGTCGGGGACAGCTCCATATGCTTGAGGGAAAGACCAGAAATCAGCGTCATATACATATTGCAAGTTTGCCACGAATGGTACGTCCATTGGCTCCAGGCCGTCGGTCGGGTGTGGAATGAAATCCATCTTGATAACCGCCGCTTCAAGTCGATATAGCTCGCTGCTGCTGCATTCGTCACGAGTCTCCTAAGCAGTCAGACGGACTGTCTTTGTAATGCACAAGTTTGGCGGCATCTTTCAAAACGCAAGAATCTGCTCGCGGCAGCAGCTTAGGCGTCGTGGGAATTTTTGCAATTTGAGGAGCTGATCGACTGGAGGATTCAGGCGCAGTGTCGCCTCCACGTCCACCTCAAACGCCCCCTGAACGATACACCCTTGTGCAATATCGTGTTGGAGCTGTGCCGCAGGCTCGCAGCCTTATGAGGGTGGACTTAACGCTGCGGGCCGCGAAGGAACCCCAGCCTGAGTTTCTTGTGCTCACTAGTGAGTGTGTCCATTGGTGAGTTAGGGATCAGGTCATGTGCAGTGCAACCCGATAATTTCTTTTGGCCGCAGAAGCATGGATTTACATCGACCACGGCGGCTAATAAGTGCTCCCCTTATCAATTGTGTTGGCATCCACAGAACCAATCAGCCACCCCGGCACAACAGCGTTGAGTCAGCCAATAGGAATGTAGGACTATAAAAAGAAGTAAGATTTAAAAGGGTATCTTCCTATGGCAAAACGCCGGCAACGCCGTGTAATTGTTTCCGATGGGTTGGCCCAGCCAGAATTGCAAGGCCAACCGCACCGAAAAATCATTCGTGCTTCCCCAAATAGTAGATGAAGGCGCAGTGTTACAAGATTTCGACTACTCGAGCCAGAGGCGGGAATGTGCATCTAATGCCTCGTTCCAGCTTGGAATGCATCCATTTCCGATGTTGAAGGCGTTATCTTCGCTGGCAGAAGCAGCAAAGACTGCAGCGTGGGCGCCGACTTTATTTTCGCCAATTGAAGTAGGACTCTGAAGTCTTCCACGCTCAGAGGGCGTGAGCTGCGATGCGACATAATCGTAGAGATATGTATATGAACGATTGGGTGAGCTGAGCGATTCCTAACCACTCTCAATTTTGCGCTCCCCAGTCGATACCTCATCAGACTGACGTTTTCCCTCCTGTTCCAGGTCTTCCTTGATCTTGCGATGTGCGTACCAGTTGCTACGCCACTCTTGGAACATGCTCTCCTTTTCCTGCGAGTGGAGGCCGCTTAAAAAGACATGACGTGGATCACCATCGGGAAATGGCTGCCCGGCGAGCATATCTCGCCACATTTGCTGTTCCAGAGGCATCTGCTTCGCCTCCTCTTCACCGGCTTCAGATACGTGCCTGCTGTATGGGAAGAAGTTCTTGATGATCTCACCAATGTGGCGATACTTCGAGTCCTTGGGAGGCTTGGGAGGCCAGTTTGCAGGCTCGTATGTTTCCATGCGCTCCAGGTCCTCATGGAGTGCGCTAAATGGTGCGAGTTAGTCTGAAGTGATACACAAAGCAGAGCTTATAGGTCTCAACGTACCCGAGATGACCTTGTAGCAGATAGCCTTGTCTCTCGAGCTCTTCCGCAAGCTCGAGTTGGTGGTTGTCCATAAGAGATGTATTTGGAACCACAATGACTCTGGCGTCAATGTCTAAGGCTTCCAGTATCGTACCAGCACCTGGGAACCGTGTTAGTTGCACAGACATTCAAAATGCACAGTCGGGACAAATGGCCAAGTACGAACCAGCGTGCGCCATGATAATGCCCCTTCCGCGGGCGGCCTCGCCTGATTTTGCAGTGGAAGGTGCACATTCCAGAAAATAATCTTTCATCTTGTCGGTGTAAGTGAAGCCGACGATGTCAATCCAGTGGCTGTCAAAGCCTCTTTGAGGACGAATGCGCTCGAAGAGCTCTAGATCAGGGCCACACTGAACGACTAGACGATTGAATTTGAGTTTTGCGAGTGTCTCTAGAAACTTGTCGGAAAGAACCTCGGTGATGAGGCTCTTGAAAGAGGCAATGGATCCAATGGTTACAAACATGGTGCGGAAGGGCTGGCGGTGCTCGGGCTCAGCAGCCGCGATAGCTGGGTCCGCCATGATGCGACCGGCTTCGGTCTTGTTGTGCTTTTCGTAGGGGCTTTTGATGATCCAATTAAACTGAGGTGGACGTTGAAGTACAGCCTCGCACAAGAACAACTCTAAGCCCAGCTGTTCATCCCCTCCTTTGGACAGGTGTATTAGGTATTTGGCCTAGTAATTGTTGATCAGATTGATATCCTAGCGAGAGTAATTGGAAGACAATGAGAGAAGGCAATAGGCTGGCCGTGACTTCTTGTCTTTCAAAATCTCTATAATGCAGCGTTCGAGACTCGATGAATGGCGTAGTGAATTTGGAAAGTCCGAAAATGAAGTATTCACAAGCTCCGGCAAACCAGAGCATTGAAACAAAGTAGTAGTACTTACCATCTTTCTTGAGGTGGATCATGCCCAATTACTAGCGTCTTGTGGCGGTGCGGTATTGTGTCTGGATGAAGTCGTAGATGTGGCTGTGCAGATCACCGTCTGGGGTCAAGAGGTGTGAATGAATTGACGAATCAAAACTCGCAAAGTTCCTTCCATACCGTCTTGCTGGGATCAATTTTAGTGGACCTCAACCTGTGTACCGTCCAATTGTGGCCCGGGCTCCGGAATTTCTCACCCGCCGCCAGGCCTGAAATTTGTCCAGGTACGGAAAGCTGCGATTCAAACTAGGTGATCGAATTGCCCCAGCCCAGCACTCACCTTCTCTTACGCGGCGAAACTGCTTATGAGCCATCGACAGCCATGGTCGCCGCCGTACAGTCCCTGAGGCTGTGTGCGCGAGCCTGCAGCCGGGCACCCACCACCACGACCACCACACAAAGGATAGCAGCGGCCTCGCATTTCACGAGCTCGAGGCGTCCGTTCTCCTCGACGCGGGCATGGCGCTCCGACGACGTTGACCGCGAGCAGCAGTCCAGCAAGCCCGAGGGCTCCAATGCTGCCGCTCCCTCCACGAAAACTCCCGTGCCCCGACTCAGGAGATCCGACAAGGTCGTGCTGGCTCTCCAGGAAGGCATGACCGAGGATGAAAAGGATGCTTTCAAGCGGATTCTCGAATACACCGACGCGCACGATATGAAGGTGCCACCGCGCCGGGGACAGCGTGCGACTTTGGACCCTGAGGAGCTGGAGGCCCAAGCAGATAAGATTGAGGAGTACTTTCAAAACGTCAACAAGCTGCCCAAGGAGGCGGATGATGCGCTTAGGGACCTGGAGCAGACATTCAACAAGGTTGACGAGATGGCATCGCCAGTCATGGCAACGGTGCGCGTTGGCAAGAATTCTTTCTGGGGAGAGGACGAGGAGGATCAGGATTACCTTACCAACGACATTGACGAGGACGATTTCGGCGAGGAGGACATGATGAGTATGGCGCATGGCAAGCTCGAGGAGCACCGAGAGTACAGAGAGTACGCCCGCATTGCAGCGTGGCAAATGCCGCTGCTTTCAAGTGAGTGACACCTGCTTGGGCATTGCCTAGCTCTAAAAAGTGTCTCTTGGGTTCTGGCTGACAAGTATTTCTCTACAGAATTGGCTCGGCCATTTGAGCCTCCGACCCAGGAGGAGTGTCTCCGATTCCGATATACCACGTACATGGGTGAGAACCACCCAGCACAAAGCAAGGTAGTGGTTGAGTTCTCCCCGAGAGATCTTGGCCTCACTTCCGCACAACAATGGAAGATGAAGAAACTCTTGGGCGCTCGATGGAACCCAGAGACAAAGATTGCCAAGATGAGCTGCGAGCAGTTTGATCACCAGGCTCAAAACAAGAGATACCTTGCTGATCTCGTGAACAAGCTGATCGTAGAAGCAAAGGTAGGTTGTAGTGTGTCCTAGTCGACTCTATTTGCCCAATCGCTGACCTTGATCTCTCCCTTGACAGGACGAGACCGATACTTTCAGGGACGTTCCACTTGACACTAGACACCATAAAATCAAGACGAAGCCAAAGTTTCCCAAGGAGTGGTATATGACGATTGACCGAGTCAAGGAGCTTGAGGACCAGAGAGAGAAGGCATTGCTACTTGATCAGGCTAAGGAAGATGCCGGCTCGCTTGTTGATGGTTCCAAGGTGATTGAGACACATTTCAACAAGCCCGAGATGATTGCGATCTCGGCACGACCTCGAGGTGCACCAAGCCTATCCCCGAGGAGACGGTAGACATAGTGGCTTGGGTGAACGAAGAAAATGATGTATACTATTAGACACGCCTACTCCATAGGGCTGATGATCATTGTACAAATGTAATATATTGTACTGCACACACACTGCAGTCGCTACAGCGTGTCCACCCTGAAATTTAGTTCCTCTAGCTCAAATACGGTAGGACCAGTCTTGACTTGTCAATCCTTCAAATTATCAGTAGATGAGGTGACTAGCGATGCAAAGTTGATATTGTCACGTAAAAAGTCTTGACACAGATACAAGTTTGAGGGGGTATCGAGATTCATCATCATTAAGAGGTCGCGATTTGCGTGTGGTGCTATAGTACAGAACCAAGGGAAGCCGCTTAGGGATTTCCGTCTCGCGAACCCGGGGGAATCATTATAAAATCAAAATATCCATCTCTCTTGCAGGCATACAAATTCCTAGGACTGCTCAAGGCTCCTTAAACCAAGTCCCAAGCCTTTCCCACAGAGAAAAATCAAAGAATGCGACAGCGTATGTTTGGGTATGATGGGGTGTGTGTGACTAGGCGTGAAGTGCCAACCCATGCTTGCACAACCTTGCAGCTGCGATCGACAAAGCCCCACTCCGAAATGCCGAGTGTCCGTCTTTGAAGATTTGTTGCTTTTGCTGAAGATTCTGTGTTGGGTAACACAGCAAGGGTGACACGATTGAGAGCCACTGCTCAGGACGATGTGTCCATAGATTTTGCCGACATTATTGTGGTTGTGTTGGCATTATCTCCGGTTGACGGCATTGCTGCTCTAATACTTCAGGATGATGTAACTGGAGGAGTGGTTAGCTTATGCGCAGAGAAAGTCTTGTTTATGCCTGAATATGATGGCGGTGAAGTGTGAACATACAGAGCGTGAATGATACCGGGAATGTAACCCAGAATGGTGAGCAGAATGTTGATGCACAAGTCGGCACCACATCCGCGCTCGAAGAAGACACCCAGAGGCGGGAGGAGGATGGCGACGAGGATCTTAATGATGTCACTTCCGGTGAAAGGCATGTTGGCGGTTGGATTTGAAATGTCCTGGTGAGAAGTTGTTTCTCTTTGTGAATATAGTTTGGCTTAAGAGCGAAGTAATACTCGCGACGACTAATTATCGGTAATGGACGATTGGTTGGATGATAGGAACAAGCAAAGTGAATGTGAAGTACAGATGGGGGGAGAGGGAGGTTAAATACGAGCCCTTTCCAAGTTTACGGCATGGAATCGAAAGAAGAAAAGGCATTGCGTCGATCGAAGTGGCAGGGTCATGCAAAGCAGTGGGCAGTAGCAGCAGAGGCAGTGAGAGAATGACCGCAGCAGCACAGCAGCAGCAGCATTGGGCAAGTATCTACATTGAAGCGGTGCACCAGACGCCTTCCTTGGTTGTACCCGACGTACCGTCCGTCAGTCGATACGTACTATGATTTGATGCGCCTGGTGGACAGACCCGTTGACGCGCGCGCACCGGCCAAGAGCTGTACCTAACTGGGGAAGCTAAAAAGAGTACCGAACAATGACGATTCCTTTTCCCCCAATGGCCAAGGCACGAGACAAGCACCCAGCAAGCCCAGCAAGAAAACCCGGCCGACGAGATTGTGCGTCATACATGCACGAGCTGTAACGAGTCGCAAAGATTTGTCGTCAAGGGTCCCAGTACTGCTCTGGCCTCTCTCCCAGGCGAAGGCTAGTCAGCAAGAGAGATCAATCAAGGCTGCTGGCGCGCGAACCCATGCTTATCTGGTGATGGCTCGGCCTCGAACCAGTTGCACTATCCCAATACCATCAATTCAGCCCCAATTGCAATATCCAGGGTCTTGATTCTTTTCGCAAAACTCGCAAAGAAAACGAAGCGGGACTGTCATGAGGATAGGATAACCGGCATCTCCCCAGCAGCTCAAGGGTTTATTGTTACCCACTTCAATGCTGTCACAAGCGGACAAGCTTAATTCGCTGCCGCCTCCATCAGCAACAGCAGTGCCAGGCAAGCCCAGGACTGCCGCTGCATGTCTTGCTTGAACATTTTCCAACCCGCCTCCTCTGGGCTCCCTCACGAATTCATAATAGTAATCATTTGCAGCGTAAGCTTGCATACATGATGGAACCTCTAACAGAACGACGATGTACGGAGTTCTCTGTCTGGTCTAGCCTGGCCTGGTCTGACAACCCACCCCCAGCGCGCGCGGCCTAGAGGAATCAAACCTGTCCAACATAACGATACAATCATGTTCCCGTCACATGGTCAGCCACATTCCTAGTCCTCTGTAATCTTTTCCCATGCTCCTTTCATCTGGTTTTCGTCCTACCACAACAAATTCTGACCAAGGCACGTACCAAGCATTGGCCAACATTTTGCATCAGTGCCTGTCGTGAGCAGCCGTCTCCAATCGGTGCCGAACTTCCGGTCCAGCAATATGTAACAGTTGCTTTGTATGGACAATCCAGGTCTGTCCAAGGCGCCTAACCTGGGCAAGACTATTTACGTCACAAGCTCTCTTCTCTCTCAATCTTTTCTCTTTACCGTATTCGGTTTCAAAAGTGGAGAGCTTCCCTTTTCTGCTCTAGTCTTCTCCAAGCGACGTCATCTGATGTGGCTATTGTGGCTATGTCCCCAACAAGATATCAACTTTGTGGCGCTCGCCTCTACTTCACAGCCGCCAATTCGTCAACAGCTTCAGCTTGACCAGGCTTACTATGTATGGCTAAAGTGTCTGCCATGATCAAGATCGTTATTGCTCATGGCCACGCGGACGGCCATTGGTCGCAGTGCCGCCAAGCTGCGGAGAGCATGCTCCTTTGCCTTTTGCTTTGGCTGGTGCATGGTTTGCATGGAAGGTCGAGACTGCCATCGAACTCTTTTTTTAACGATAAAATTGGGTTTTGTTTCTGCTTTAGCATTCGCGCTCGGCTGGCACCGCTGGCTATTATTTGTAGATCCTAGTAGCTCGTCAACTCGTGGCCTTGAACCTTGTATAGCTGCCGAGGCATCATGATTTCGTAACACGCTGTGGCGCATCACTGATACGCTGTCTAGGCATCCGGTTTCAGTATGTACCTTCTAACTGATCGATACCCAAGAGAGCGAGAAAAAAAAAAGAGGAAAAGTCAATGGAGAGCAGTCATTGCTTGTATGGATCGCTAGCCCATCTTCCCCATTTACTTTCATCCATGATACCTAGGACAAGTCGATATGCCAAGGTTGCTTTTTTTTTTTTTTTTTTTTTTTGCCCAGACAAACACTAATAGAGACAGACTCTGGCTTTGGCTAATGTATGGAGTGCTATGGATCAGGCCTCAAAGTCTAGTCTGTCCAGGGCAGCGAGAACCCTACCAATCGCCTTGAGCCCTGGAAGATAATTGGGTGTTGCAATCAGCATTGATGATAATAAGTCTAAAGGCTATCTCATATTAGTGTTCTTTGACTAAAGTCTCTTTTATACGCGTATCTATGGGGCAACGTCAACCTTACATGCATCTTACCATTCAGGGCCATCTGCCAAGTCTCTATAATCGCAGTTCAATGAGGGGTTGCCCCTCTTCTAGTATATACCGCCTACCAAGCCCACCAAGGGACCTTTAAGAACTATACAGTATGATATATTTCTATATCTGTCGCATCCTCCAGAAAGTCTAATCCAGTCACTTGTCCACTTACTCCCATCGTCGTGGGAACTTCTTCCAATTACGCGCGCAAGTCCTTGTTGTTTTCTTGTATAATACACAAACTCACGACCCGCTATCAGTGCGTGCACGAGCAAAGTAACAAAGGACACAGTTGCTATACCCAGGCCAGGCCAGCCAGATCAGCCACAAGCGGCATCACGGTAATTAGACTTGACCAGAAATCGGGGCCGAGAGGGAGGACGTATTTACGACGGTTTCGTCAAAGTTGCACCTAGACAAAAGCAGCTCTGAGCCGAGGCACAAATCTGGACAACAGCGACATTGTCCAACCTGGTCAATTTCCTTCCCAGTCACCATCACACTGCAAAAGCGGTCAATAGTCTGATTGAATTTGAATGAATCAATTATTGATAGTAGGGTTTCTTTCTGTTTGCTATATGATCTGCTCGGCCTGAAGATGTTTTCCTAGGTCTGAGGAGTAGCGGAACGCCAGGACGAGGCCCCAACACCTACGTCTTACCGGTTTGTCGTGATTCGTGATTTGTCAAAAACAATGACAAGACGAGATGAAAAAAGCTCAAAAACTCCACGCTGATGATAGGTTTTCCCAATTCCTTGAACGAAAAAAAAATGCAATATGCCCACGCTCCCAGAAAACGAATGTCTTGGTGTTGGTTTCACCATGATTGAAAAAGCTTGCATCTGCTTTTAATGTTTGTGATGGCGTAGACGGCTAAAGAGGCTCCTCCGCCGCGACGACTCTCCACTTCGGCTATACTGGGAGTCTGTAGGACTGGATGGTCGTTCGACCGCCTTCAGGAAACCATCGGTGGGGATCACGATGCTCTCAGCACCATCTCTACTAGAGGGCCTGGCCGCTGCATCATCGACAACCAAAATATGGTCATCCTCGAGGCCAATTGCGCTGTCTGTCGAGTTGAGAGCTTCCTGGGATTTGAGGAACTCGAGTTCCATCTCGGATGTGATTCTGCCGTGGCTGGTGGTGCGCTTATATTTGCTGTGGAGGAAGTGCTTGTGGTGACGTTGCAGGGCCTTGGCGGGATCAATATCCTCGGCCGAGATGCAAGCATCCGGTGATGTATTTGCTTCGGGGTGTCTCCATGTTGTTGTCCTGGGCAGCTCTGGGAAGCCAGTATCATAATCCCGGCTCAGAGGTCTGCCATTGCTGCTGCAGTGGCTACCTGACGAAGACATGGACGACATGGTGTAGAGCGTATCTGGCGTCGACGGTCTGTGGTCTCTGCGCTTAGCAATGGAAAGCGGGCGGAAGCGAGCCATTTTAAAAAAGGATAAAAATAGTTGTTTTGTTCGTAAATGCGTTAAGGTGGAAAACACAAAGGATGAGTCGGATATAGTTTAAGCTTTGAGGCTTACTGGTGGCAGTGCCTGAGAAACTTTCCAGTTGCCTAATGGATGGACAAACGAGATGGATGAGTGGAAATAGTAACTGCTTCAAGTAGATGGTAGTAGTATAAGAAGGGAGGAGAAAAAGAAGAAGAAGAATGCTTGCGTGGTCGAGACCTTGGCAAGCTGGGCTGTGGGTGAGCAAGATAGATCGGATGGATTATATCTGAATTGTGGTGAAGAAAGTGGTGCGACAGTGGATGAGGCAGAACTAGAGATGCGTTGGTCTGCATCGACCGTTTATGATCAATTGGGGATTTTCTCCTGACGATGGGATCCCTCCACTAAGGGAGATCCATTGTGGAGAGCCCACGTTGATATTGCATTATATTTCCGACCAGCCCAAGCGACATTGGTCGAGAGCTCATTTTATGATATTGGGCATATTTCATATTGGCGCACTTTTTTGAGACGCTGCGGCATAACAAGAAGGGAACTAATGCTCGCTCTCTCAACACAAATCAAATGGATAGTGCCGGGGTGTGCGCTTTGGGGAAGGGAACAGCAATGGCCTGATGGGCTAATGTAGCCTGCACTGCGCACGTCTGCGGCGGGAGAAGCCGTTGTTGGGTGGTGCCCAGGTGCCACGGGTGACGAATGGGAGGGACAAATGACTGGACCAGAAGAGCGTAGAAGAGGCCTGCTCACCTGAAGGGAATCGCAGAAAGTCCCAAAACTGGGGGGCTTGGGCTTTTCGAGAAGAGCTGCTGCTCCACCAAAGGGTCTTCCAGTTGTATGGTGGCCAACCGCGCGCTAGACACGGTGTAAATTGTATGGGGATTTGTCAGGGCTCTGGTCTTTCCGTCAAGCCCGTACGGATCGCGGCACCACAAGCGTCGTGCGCAGCTTGGGTGTACCTGGATAATCGGAATGCTTCACCTAGGTGGAGTCTTTGGTGAGAGTGCCGTAGAGCCGCTTTTCTTTCTTTTTCTTCTTCGTCTTTCGTTCCTGTCTGCCTGTGCTTGCACCCCGCCGCTGTTTCGTGCCTCTTTTCAAACAGTTCCAAACAAATTCCAACAGTTAATCGGTGCTTTTGTCTTGGCCCAACACAATTTGGTGTGTTGCAGCCGTCGGCCGCTCGCAAGTTACCGGTCGATGGTAGAAGTGGAGAGGGTAATAAGACGATTTGATTTCCCGGGGGGTTTAGAGGCTTGGGAGGCTCGAGGTAGAAGGGTCCGGAGAGGGTTGGCAGGGCCCCAGTCCAGAATATATGTATTTTGCTGCCGGTCGATTTGTTTTCCAAAGTCTCACCACAAATGGGAATTGACTTGCTGGTTGCGTGTGCTTGTGCCTCCGTCTTGGATTCTGGTTGGTTGTGTGTGCTAGGAAGGGAGCTATCCAATGCATAATAATCATGGATGCAGGTCAGTCTGCATGTGAGATAGGTCAGATCGGGTCGCTAATTGCACTTTTTGTATTTGTCCGGGTCAATGAAGATGGCGTTTTTAGTTGAGCATCCGGCGGCACGTTCAAGGCAGAAGTGTCCCGGCCACTTTATGAGCCCTCCCTGGTCACAACTGCCTTTGCAAGTTCAGTTTTTACTACAGTCTATTCTATGACCTTCTCGCCTGGATCAGCTGGGCAGGCTGGGCAGTTAGTCGAAGATCCCATTACGATAGTTCACGCTAGAGTGGCAAGTCTGGTTCCGATTATCCAGAGTGCTACAGTACAAACATCACACAACCTGCCGAGTCTGCCACATTCTCTTGCAAGACATCGTCATTGCTCTGGCCGTTTTACCCACGCAATAAACACAACGTCCTCCACCAGTGAGTGCCCACAACACAAAAAAAATTCCTTCCATGGACAGCGGACAGGCCAGGGGTAGGTGAGTAATGGGGGCAAAAATCAGTCCATGGATGGGTGCCTACCAGCCATTCTGACAGGCTCTAGGTCCAAAGCCACAGCGCGTGGTAGCGCTGGATGCGCTGGAGTGCTCACATTCAGTGGCAGAAAAGGTTCCATGGCTCGCTAAGAAGCCCGGAAACCGGCAACTTTTGAAAAACGCCGCCTTGATTTGACTCTCCGACTCTTCGAATCTTAAGTTCTTACGTGGGACAAATGGGAAGCCGATTATCCAGAACAAAAAGAACAAGCGCTCAAACCTTACAGCCATCTAGTGGCTCTGGCTTGAAAAATTCGCATCTGTTGTCCTCTTCTGCATGTCTCATCTAGGTGACGGCGAAGCTCCATACAATTGGGCGGGACGTGCCTCGTAGAACATTCGCGTACCCTGCCACCACTCACTCTCATTTGGCAGAGTACACAGTAGTCCCTTGCTCGAGTGGGATGGCAGTGACAGATGTCAGACAGCAACTCGCAATCCACAAAACAAAGGGCCACACCCCGCCTTTTGTTGTCATATTCCATCAATTTGCCTGTCACTGTCGTCTGTCTTGTGTGGCATGTGCGTGACTTTCTAGTTTAGAGCTAACAATTGGCACTTGCTGGTTCGTCGGCTCAGCCGAAGCCGAATGACCTGCAACTCAATATCGTATACAGAGACGAGTCTCGAATCATGGTATTTGACACTTATTTCTGGCTTAGACAGTCGAGACAGTGGCTTGCGTTAAGGTCTGGGAAGGATCTTGAACCACGTTGGGGTTGTACACCTACCTAGGGCACACACTCACTATGAACTCGCTCGAAATACAGAGTTTCCATGATGTTTCCAGTGCCAAGATGCCAAGCGTCTACTCCCCGCACCTCCAATACCAGCCAGTGCCCAAGTTTCCCATTCGTGCTACTTATTAATGTAGAGACACTTTACCAAGCGCGTCCCAACTGCCAATCGTGCATATCTCTATATACTCGTTCCACTTTTCTTTTCCTGCTAGCGGTTTGCTACTGCCGGCACTTCATATAAGGCAGATCGAAAATCAATTTTAATCCCCGAATATCTTAAGATCCTTTCGATTGGGAGATTCTCTTCCATTGATGACGCATTGGGCTCACAATGGCTGTAGATCGTGCGGTAGCTTGTTACATCCATAACTCAAAAAAAGATCTGTGGTAGATCAAAATATCGGTGCTACCGCAGCCACCCCCTAAACTCCATCAGAGGTGCTTTTGTTTGCTTCCTATCAAATACAAATGAACAAACATCATCCTCACATAAGAGTCCCAGCTTACTCACACGAATGCGGTTCCGAGATCGATTACGATCACGGCATGAAGGCATTGGTACCATTCCTGTGCCTCCTATCATGATTTTGAAGTGTGATGTAACTTGATAATGTCGATCAACGCTCGTTTTGTGGGTCGGCACGAGGCTTGCAAAGCCTTTCCTCTTGTCAAATCTCCAATAAGTATTGGCTCACTCGACATCTTGCGACATGATATTTGAGCCCTAGGATTTATGGTAAGATTTGCAGTGCCATTTTGACTAAGACTATCACCGTATTCGACTTCAACATAAGATATCGACGCATTATGATATTTACGCTATTACTACTAATGCCGCCTATCTGATATCTCTTTCACAATATGGCTGCTCCAAGGCGCTTCTAAATCTGGAAGGAAACAGCATTAAAGTTGACCTGGCCGGAGCTCGGGCAGTCTGCCGAAATGGACGGTCCAGTGGCCGACTTGCCGCCTGCCGTCACCGTGACGGCGCCCGTGGAGCCGGTGAAGCTGGTCTCGTAAAAGCTGGCCTTGCCGACCGTGCCGCTAGCCGAGACAGTAACGCTTTGTCCGCCACCAATGGAAACAGAGATGTCCTGGCCCGGGTTATCGGACAGCGCAATGATGCTAATCACGTCGTCGGTGCCGTCGGCAGCCGATGCGGTGCCGCCCTGGCCCCAGACCGTGCCGCCATCGGAGCACACTGACTTGGACGTGGTGCGGTACCATGCCACGGCGCCCTCGCCTGATGGGAGAGCCACATCGGCCGTGCCGGCCTTGTAGGCGGAGATGAAGTACGGCAAGACGAAGCGGAAGGCCGTGTGGTCGTAGCCGTCGACGTAGGTCTCGGCGCCGCTCACGATCTGCGAGGTGACGGGGTCGTTGAGGTACGAGGACTCGCCGTAGTCGTTCCCTGTCATATTTCGGTCAGCATCGCCCGGTTTCCTTCGTGATATAAAACACGGAAGGCTACAGGAAATGATCGAAATAGTACTTACAAGTGATGAGCTCAACATATGTGGGCAAAACGTCCAACACCTGAGACCAGCGATCATACCAGAGGGTGTCGCTGGTGGAGTACCTGTATGGTTATTAGTAAACTGAGTTGTTGTCTTTACGTTGCCTCTTATTCAATTGCTAAAACCAATTATTCATTTTGGCTACTTTACATGTAGCCTATCAAGAAGTAATTGGCAAATGGAGAAAGGGATCGCATACCAGTTTTTGGAGTATTGTGGGAGGTCTAGATCTGAATGATTAGCAAGAGTTCCTAGTCACAAGTCCATTCTGTCAAGGACTTACCGGTGTAAAAGTATGGGCTAACACCCATCATGTAGGTCTTGTCACCCAAAGTGGACTGATATTCGGTGTCACCATCCACCGACAGAGTTTTCGAGTTCGCGTAAGGCCAGGCACCCCAGTTGACTAGAAATGGAACAGTGTCAGTCAATCGCCACATTTCTTGATCGCAATCGAAGCACGATAAAGGTTTACTCACAGGCACCATCAATCAAGGAGAGCTTATCGCCAAATCCAGTAGGTCCAAGGCTCGACCAGTCTGGAACCAGATAGATACCTCCCGTCGCCGTCCTGACATCGGCCCAGTTAGCCGACCAGGTGGGACCCTCAAACGTGCTGACAAAGGGCACGTCGTTGACCTTGAACTGCGCAGACTCATCCTTGTAGTCGTTGATGAGACCAACAACCTGGTCAACGGTGAAGGAGTCGGCGGTAGCCTGGTCAAAGGAGATGAACAGGACAAAGGAGCCGGCGGCCTCGGCGGCGGCGTAGGCCAGCGGTAGCTGCGTGTCGGTCCAGCTGTCGGAGCCGCCAATGTTGAGGGCAAATCCGTCGATACCCGCGCTCTTGGCGTCGCTGATGTCCTGCGCCCATTGATCCGACGACTGGCCATCAGTGAGGCCGACCATGTAGTGCGCAAAGACCTTGCGGTCGTTGCTCTGGCGCTTGCAGGCCAGGCCCGATACCTGGGTGGCCGCCAGCAGAATGGCGGTGCATGTTTTGAATAGCATCTTGGTCGAACTTGTGATGTGATTATAGACCAGAGCGTTGGTGTACAGCCAAACACCTATACAAAGGCGCACCTCGAGGTTATATACAACACTTCAACACCCTTTCCCCAGGGCTGTGCACGAACTGACGGCCAATTGCAACCGACACAGGGATTACGTGCTGTCGTACGAGCAGGATGTCAGCATGGGACTTCAGCTGGATGGAGTAGGAAACTCTACTATACGTCAAATGGATTCTTGAATCCTTCCCATGACGAGAAAAAGAACGCACAAAAGTGAAAGGGGGCTGACCGAGAGTGCGAACTAGCGAATCACCACCATCTTTGTAAATTTTGGGAAAACATCCATACTAGGTAGCGAGGTCAGGGGTTGCTGGAATTAGCAGCTTTCCGTGCCGCACGCCTGCTTCTTTAGCATTTAAAGCATTCTGCACCCCAATGGCAAGTGTAGCGAAAAATCCTTGACATCATCATCATCACCAGGATACCGCTCAGGTACAGGTCCAAGGCGACGTGATAGCAAACTTGACAGCCTTTCCCAACTTTGCAAATGATGCACCGAAAAGCAGAATCCTTTGCCATCATCTGCCCCCACGAAAAGAAAACCCTGTATCCGCTCGGCCGCTAAGAATACCGTTGAAGCGAACGAAGCATTCCGTCGGCCGCCCTGATAAAACAACCCTGTCTTTCCCAGGGTGCCAGGATCCACCTACCACCAATTTGAGGCTATAAATAGGCCTATACACATCGGCCCTCGGCGACTACTTGGATTGGTCAAGCTGGGATGTATATACTATTGATTTCCATCTGTCGGAACAAGTAAAGAAGAGATTGCTAAAGCACTCACGCGATGTTTGGAAGAGCGAGAATGCTATTCCCGGGATAGAGGCTCTGTGCTAGGTTGTTTATATCTAAAGACTCTATCAAGGTCACTTAGGAGGTAATCGATAGCGTACCCTTACTGTCCCTGTTGAAAGAGAATCGGGCTTTGAAAGCGAACGCGCCGATTCTAGAAGTTGTGAGATTCACGAACCCTTATACATCCGGAAGGTCTCAGGATGCAGACATACCTACCAGACATCTACTAGACATAAGTCATAATACCTCGAGGTCCATGCCGAGCTCTTGTGTACTTATTGACCCTTGTTGTTGATGCTCTGAGAACCTAGACAGGCGGCCGCTTGACCCATTTTACCAAGTACGATTTGAACTCGTATCAAATTTGCCATCATGCTGCTAGTCAGGCATGCTTGGAACTGGGTAAAGATAATCCCAGAAGCCATGCTTACATCTTTATTTCACGACCTTGCAAGTGCGATGTTTCTGCCAAAGTGGGTTGTGTAGAATCGGCTGCAAGATATACTAGTCATTTCTACATAAACATCGAGGCCACTCGCAGATAACTAAAGAACCCCCAAGATATACGACAACTTTGACGACGTCTATATCAAATAAAGCAGCTCCGATTAATGTTAGAAGTTATTCTACAATTATTGAGCATATTCCTGTGTCCCGGAATTACTACTTCTCAACTGTTCAACAGGAAGTGTGTGTAAATTCCTCGCCAATTTGTGTAGTCAGAACCAAACTCGTAGTGATTGTATGTCCGCATGCTCTTACAGTGCTAGATAGGAGACTTCTGTTACTGATTGCACCCAAGCATAATTGGCGGTCCTAATAATATCAAGGTCTCTTTCATTTTCCACTTTTTTCTTTTTTTTTCCAATCTTTAATTTTGAGCTTCATAGTGCGAGTATTGTAGGAACTGGTCTCGTGGGATTGCCCCGTGACGTTACAGAATAGGATCATCTCACTGCAATGACGGCATCAACGTGTTCGTGCCGTCTTCGTATTCGCAACAATGTATAAATCTGAGCGTATGGGAATGTACATCAATATCGAGGATACTGTAATAGAGAGCGCCTTCCAGATCAATGGATTGTCATGGCTGTGTACTTAGTAGGCTTCCTTAAGAGCCTATTCTCCAAGCTCGAAATATGTAGTGAGCACAATCATCATGGCATGCCACTGGAACTCGTAGGAATTCAACTGAAAATTGAGTCATTGACATTTGTGCGTATCTGGGGAAATCTAAGAAACGCCAAAATTGAGCATCTTGATGGCCATTGAATCAATCAGCAAAAGCACGGAGCTCGCTGAACATAGCGAATTATGCAATATGCATCACCAATAGTGTAAAGATTTACGTTCTAGCAAAATGCAACAGGTTTTCCACGGAAGTTGAGGCTAAAAATACCGATTTATTGAACATACTACCTGCTTTAGTCATCCTGAAAAGGGCGATTGGAGAGCTCGCCATCCGGGACGTTGCCAAGGAACAGGCCCAAAGAACAGTGTCACCTTAAGAAAACCGATAGCCCACCCTCGGTGTATTTGTTGAAGGAGAATCAGGCTTTGGAAGCGAATATATTATTTCTAGGAGCTGTGCGACCTACAGGACGTACCGTAACCTAAACGTGGCTACGTATACATTCTAGTGCAACATGAGCATGCCACCATTGGCACAAACCACTTGACCCGTAACCCAAGCGGCATCCTGTCCGCACAACATGGCCACGACGCCAGCAACTTCCTCGACATAGGCCGGGCGACCACCGCTAGTCTTGGCATCTTCGACGAGCTCGTCGCTGTCGACGCCCTTGCGCACCTTCATCAGGGGCGAGTGCTCGATCCAGCCCTTGATCTCGCGCTTGAACTCGTCGCTGTTCTTGTAGTACATCTCGCCCAGCACGGGGCCCGGGTTGACGGCATTGACCGTGGCCCGCTCCGAGAGCTCGCGCGCCCACGTCCGGGTCATGGCCTCGAGCGCGGCCTTGGTGCCTCCGTAGACGGACTGCTCAATGAAGCCCGTGGATGACGAGACAGACGACAGGTTAACGATCCGCCCGGATCGGTCACGCGGGAGAAAGGGCTCTGCTGCCTGGGTCAGGAGCAGAGGGCCAAGAACGTTGACCTTGTAGGAAGAATCAAAGTCGTTGAGCGTGATCTTGGGTAGCGGGTTGTTGGCGGCAATTCCGGCATTGTTTACAAGAATGTCGATTTGGAACTTGGCACCGTCCTTGGAAAAGTGCTCCCTGGCCGCTTCAATCAGTTGCTTTGGCCCCTCGGGTGTGCCAAGATCGGCGGCAACGGTGAAGGCCTTGATGTTGTGTTTGGATTGCAAATCATGTGATAGACTCTCTGCTAATGACTTTGAGGACGGTGAAGTATAAGCCAGAGCCAAGTTTGCGCCATTCGAGCCCAGTTTTGTTGCTATCGCCTTTCCAATGCCTATAAATGGTCAATCAGAGGTGCACAATAATGAAGCAAGGAGATTCTATACCTCGCGATGCACCAGTGACAATCGCCAACTTCCCCGCGAGCGGCAGTGCCATTTTAAAGTCGGGCGATTTGTTGTTGTAACGCTCGTTCCAGACTTCCAGAGTTATGGATACTGGCTAGCTGTACTAATCTGAGTCGTTTATAGCTTGGAGGTGGTTCTGGAATAAAACCAACTCAAGTCTCAACCCAACTCGAGAGCGCGCAACTACAGACACGAGGAAGACAAATGATAGAGATCTGCCAGATCATGATCTTGTTTCGACCGATGGCCCCTGGGAATTGGGTTTCATGTGTTTTATATGCCGAAATTCCTCCAATCCTGGCACGAGCCGTGGCTTGTCGCTTATAAGTACGAAATAGGTAGCGGCTGGGTTACCTTTACTCAGAGACAGCAAGCAGTTGTACCGAGCTGCGGGGCCTTGGTAGGGACAGTTCATTGATCGTGAGCTTTGGAGCGGCAATAACAAGCGCTGGAAGCTACCTAGCTGCCACCTTAGTGACGCTCTATTGCCCATGTGCCCCGCGCCCAGACTTGAAAACCCCCCACATTAGTATCAGGTATGCTCTTACACACTCTGTTGCATGCACATTCTGTGGTAAGTTCGCAGCATGATGGAAGCTTATCCCAATATTAAAATGAAGCTGTGAGCTAGATATTTCATACCAGATAGCTTCGAAGAACCATCATCTCACAAATGATAAAATGTTATATGCGACCTTGACGAGCTCTCCCAGTTTGCAGTCTACTGACGTAAACTCGCTCGGGTGAATACGCCCCGTCATCCGATAGCTATCACGGGAGCTAGCGAGTTAAACCCTGGCTGCAGGCTCCAAATTGTCGGTTTACTTAGCCGCACCTCTCACAGAAACTCACGACGACCTCAATTCAGGTAACAGGTAGCCTCGCATTTGGACGAAATCGCCGAGCCGCCTTCCGACGACCACCCACACCCCCGATCCGGAGCCGCACACATCATCGGCCCCTGCATTAGACGACGAGCCGCCTCCGGTATAACCCTCCTAGAATCAGACATTCGAAGCTGGTGACGATTGCCCCCGTCCAAACCTAGTCACTATGGATATCCGTCTCCTTCGCTCCAGCGATATTCCGCTGATCCAGCATGCCAACCTCGAGAACTTGCCCGAGAACTATTTCATGAAGTACTACCTCTACCATGCCCTGTCATGGCCTCAGCTCTCCTTTGTCGCCGTCGATGTATCGCGGCCCAAGAAGACACCCTACGACTACCCCAAGATCGTTGGTTACGTATTGGCAAAGATGGAAGAGGACCCCGTCGATGGAATTCAACATGGCCACATCACTAGCTTGTCTGTAATGCGAACACATAGGCGACTGGGTATTGCCGAAAAGCTGATGAGACAGAGCCGTACGTTTTGAATCCCGCACACGCAGCGCAAGCAGGAAAAAGAAATGCTGACCGAGCAAACAGAGCTGGCCATGGTAGAGACCTTTGGCGCACACTACGTCTCCCTGCACGTCCGCGTCTCCAACAAGGCCGCCATTCACCTGTATAGCAAGACGCTCGGCTTTGACCGCGAAAAGACCGAGGCCAAGTACTACGCCGACGGCGAGGACGCCTACTGCATGAAGCTCGACCTGAGCACCATTCGCGAGCAGATTCGCGACCAGCGCGAGCTCGAGTACCCCGACGACGAGGGCGAGCCCGTCGGTGACGTTGGCAAGGCTGGCGAGGAAAAGGACTTGGCCCTTCGCGGCAAGGATGGCGAGGGCAAGGAGGCCAAGCGCAAGGTCAAGGTCGGCCGCGCCCTCGGCGTCTCTGCCCTGGTTGAAAAGGATGAGAGCAGCAAGGCGTAGGCTCATGGTTTCGACCCGAGAAGCCCTGTGACAGCGGCCTAGGCCTGGTATAACATACCAATGAGGCCACCCTTTTCTCGTGAGGGTTGATATCAAAGTGCCCATCCTTCCTCATAAGGGGCAAGACGAGGTCAAAAAACTGAAGAAGGGGGCCGGCTTATGATGTCTCCCTTTATTTGACACAATCTATGGTTATTGCATTGCCTGGCATGGTTCGGCGTGGACGGGAAAATCAAAAAGGGGAACAGTCCAAGAGGGGCAGTATGCATTATGACCGCACGATAGAGACTATGTGTTTTCATGGCAATCAAATGTAGATTTCCAAATTCATCAAGGGCTTATCAGATGCCCAAAGCAAAAAGCTCACTTGTATAATCGCACTTTCAACTACATGTCATGAAATCGTTCAAGCAACGAGTCGTAAATTGCCCCATCTCAAGCCCTTTTCTTATTCCACCCATCTTACCTTGGACTTATCGTCCCTATCCTCCTGTTCAAGAGTCTTTGCAAATTCCTCATCTGCCTCAAAGATCAGTTCCTCGATGCGACAGCCTAGGTCTTCGAGCTCCCTCTCTAATGCTTCCGCATTCAGCTCCATGTGACTCGGGCCCGCCCTCTTTTGATCTCCCTTCCCAGCCTTGGCCGCAGCAATGGCCTCGGCTTCGGCGCTCTCCTGCAGGGACAGGAGCGCAACTCTCTTGGCCTCCATCTCCTGCTCCAGCGCCTCGGCGGCCCGGTACTTTGCGGCGTAGCGCTCGTGCGCCGCGGCCGAGGTTTGCACCTGTGACTGGGTTTGTGCGGCCGCCGAAACAGCGGCCGCTTGCGACTGGGCCAGGTCCCTCTGCACCGCGGCCTGTGCCCTCGCGCGTGCTGCTTGTTCGTGAGCTATGGCTCGCTGGTGTACGGCCATCTCGTGAGCCCGAGCGCGCGCCTGGACGGCCTGCTCGTGCGCTTGCACGCGAGCTTGAAAGGCTTGTTCCCGCGCGGCTTCAGCCTGGGCACGACTGCTCTCGGCCGCGGCGTGCGGATGTTGCCACTGGTGATGACCTCGACCCCAGCCACCGCTAAAGGAGAGACCGGGGCCCCCAGATCGACCTGGTCCAAAGAAAGGACTCGGTCCGTAGGGATGTTCATTGGGCATTGGGAACGGAGGCACTGCGTGAGGACCAGGCACGTTGGGCGGGACCGGATGGCTCGTTTGCTGTGGTTGAGCCTGGTCTCGGACAGGTACTTCTGGCGTCTTGCCGTGACGCCGCTGCTGCCTCCCGAGCTCACGCTCGGCACGCCTGTGTTCTCGCCTGTGACGGCGCTGTTCCTTCTTTTCACCACGGTCTCTTGCCCTTCTCGTCCGTCGCTCGGCCCTTTTCTGGGCCTTGGACTGCTTTCGTGCCGCCTTGAGATTGGCTGTCTGGTGCTTCTTGAGATCATTGAAACGCGAGAGGAGGTTCTTGATTTCCTCTCTCTGTTGGGCGTCAGACGCCACGGCGGGCTGTGGGAGGGACTTGGCGGCCTTGATCTCCGACTTTGCGCGCTTGAGCTCGGCCTTGGTCACAATCTGATCAGGGTGCGCCAGCCAGGCCTCAACGGACTGCTTGACCACGGGGATCTGCGAGTCGCGCAAATCGTCCCAGTCCGGCAGGGAGCCAATGGACGATATGGTTGAGTTTGAATCGGACGACGAGGTGCTGCTGTCGGACATGGATGAGCCGCGAGACTGCGATCGTCGCCGAATGGAACCCCACGTGTTGGTATCAAAAGGCCCCCCGCCGCGGCGAGCTGGATGCCCGCTACCGTCGTGCCACCAGCGGCCCGTCCCTCGGCCCCGCGACCCTGCTGCGTGGCGGTCCCGGTCATGGCCTCCCGAGAACTGCTCGGCAATGTCACGCCCGTGCCAGCGCACGCCGCGACTGTCCATTTCCAGGGTGCTCCCAAAGGCCACCCGGTCGCCGTCAATGGTGAGAGGACCCATCCGTAGGCTGCGCTCGTTGATGTCCATGCCCAATCGCTGATAGAGCTGTTCTCTCCAGCCTCCCCTTCCCTGGGGTGCTATCGGTCCACTGGCTGCTGCTGGCGAGGAAGCCGCTGGTGCGACCCTTTCTGTCGCACCGGCATCAAACGCGCTGTCCCGTCCACTGGGCATTCGTGCTTTTGGCTCACCGGTTGAAGTCTCCTCAAGGAGTCTGATGCTCACGCCCCTGGGACCAAAGAAACCGCCGTTCCACTCCTTGACAGTATTGGTCAAACGCCGCCTCAGACTTGAAGATTTCAGATCATCAAGCTGAGGCTCTGCAGTCTCTCTTGCCGATGTGGACGGCGTTGGACTGTCACTCTCCGCGGACCGCAATTTGCGATCCATGATGCCAAAGTTGGCCTTGTCCGCATAATCCGGAATAAGGTAATTGATAAACGTGCGCCAGTCCTGCTGATTGACATCTCTGGACGCTGCCCAATTGGGAAACGGGAAATCCGCAGGAGAAGGGTCGTCGGAGACGCTGATGGTATGCACGATGGGCGCCGAGGCCCTCAAATGGTCAGCTGCAGAACGGACATCAAAGTAGACCTGGGCAGACGCCGTGGTCTGACAATCTTCGGCGCCCGTAAATGCATGATGAGAGTCCTGGGGAGTATCTGGGGGCGTATAGACAATGTTGCTGCGAGATGACGAGGCATCGTCGGCTTGAGAGATATGCGAGTGTGTTGCTGCCGGATTGGACTGGTGATCTACCGAAGAAGCCGCATAGATATCTGTTTCGGAATATGGTGGAGGGGGTACATCATGAGGCTCCATACTGGGGAATCGTTCCACTGGAAAAGAAAAGCTTGTTTGTGTCTAGGTACTACAAAATAGTGTATCTATCAATGCTAAATGTGACTTTGAAGGGGGTATATGGTCAAGCTCTGATGGTATGAATGATTGAAAAGGAATAAATGGAATTCGAGTCTAAGGATGGATCGGTCAAATTTCAAAAGACATTCGATACTGCATAAAAGTCATATACATAAAGGCAAAAAGTGGTTGCCTGGAGCTGTGTCAATACACCTTGATTACTAGCTGCCAATCATTGCGCCAAAATCCATTGCTAAGGTACCTCGATGTAGGAGGGTATTGGCTGTTTGCTTGGATGTTTGGGGCTTCTGGACGGCCTCCGGCCAGGACGGTCCAAGAACAACTGGATGAACATAACCCCCAAGTTCTAGCGAAGTAGGTAATGTAGTGGGAGAATCCGTTGGAAGGATGCTAGGTCTTCTATCTAAACGGCTTTTTAGCACAATACTGGTGCCCGACTCTCGCTTAACGTGCTCAGCCACGCGCCGCTGCAAAAAGTCTCCCATCAACCAATATTACCTGTTACCCCGCCTCCATCGCCAGTTTTCAGGTAGCCATCCAGAGAGCGCCCAGCAGAACCAGCCTCGCGCTGACGCGGCTTTGCTGCACACAATAAGCAACCAAAATTGTGTTTTGAAATCCATCTTTCTGCCACGATATCTGAGTCGCAGCGGGCAGTTGGGTCCACTTTCTCGAGAAATACCTCGAGAGTATAGAGGTGCCATAGCTTGCATTGCTGTAGATCCGTATTGTTCATCTTCCAATACTCTGTGTTAGCAGGAAGACGAACAGCTGTCCTGTTGTTGGGCTTGTGTCATGCGAACAATTCGACACAGCTTGAGTCCAGCAACAACTGTCTTCGATTCTTGTTCAACCACCCCTCGATGTATAGGAGCATTGTGACAGTTGGGCGCGACCGTTGGTTAGACACGCCTACTCATTTCCGGATCTTGGCGTACAGGTCAAGAGCGACATCTGCCTCCTTGTAATGATCGCTGATCACAGTATGGAGATGCTCACGAGAGTGAGCGCCCAAGTTGGTAATGTAGGCGTTAATATCCCCAGCTGGGATGAACTCCGAGACAGCGTTCTTAACTGTGGTCTTGCCAACGAGCTGCCCATCCGAGAAATCGACATATGCTGATGGATTACCCCATTCGGTCGCAATGCTCTGAGTTACTTGACTGTCTGGACTGAGCTTGTAGACGCCTCCCAGCACAATCACAGTGCGACCCTGGGATCGAGCAGCGCGTGCTACAGAAGCAGCGCCAGCATCTGCCGTCACTCCCCCGGTGCCCGTAAGTGCGCGCGCACTGAGAATGACCTTGTTGACCTTGGTCATATACGCCATCAGACCGGCATTCATGATGCTGATCAGGATCGAGCCATTGGCGGCGAGGGACTTGCGTAGTGAGGCGTAAGGGTCAGGACCTGACTGTGCTGAAGGGTCTGTAACAACAAAGAGTGTGAACTTTCTCTTGGAGCGAGTCAAGAATCTCTGAACCGTCCTGGAAGGCTTGTAGACGAGGATGTAATCCCCGGGGTGGATAATGATGTCGGAGTAACTGCAAAGTTGATCATCGACCTGCTTGATCTCGTCCATAATTTCCTCGATACCGTCGAGCACCTCGGATCTAAGGGCAGAGGTGTTGGTGGGGAAGTTGTGGCCCAAGGGTGTAGAGGCACCGGAGCTTGCGAGAGGGGTGCTGTTCATCCATCCTGGAGGAACGGAGTCGGGGTCGGCAAGAATGTTGAACATTGACTGTGTTCTTGTCAAGGTGCTCTGAGCAGTCGGGAAAGCGGGCCGGATGACTTTGGCAACAGCACTGTCGATGGTCAAGGGTGATGCGACGGGGGGATCGGGGGAATCTGCCGGTGTGGCATTGCCAGTTTCCTCGTTTCGATCTTCTTCGGCTTCATCACGTATGAGACCGAGAATTCGGCGGATGATGTTACCGATTGTGAGCTCGCGCGGTGAGGCAGCTACCAGTCTGCGTCCGACCGACTGGACGCGCTCCAACAGTTGGTCCACGTTCAACCACTTGTCTCTTGCTACGACCTGAAGGAGGATGTGGGCAGTGGCTAGGGCACATGACTCTGCGCCTTGTATTTGTCTTCGCTTCAACAACCTGTTTGCGACAAGATTAGGACTTTGCGGAGAAGGGCGCAATCAGCACATCGGAATCAGGCGCTCACGAGATGAGAGACTCGACGGAAGCCTCGACGGGTTTGCTCTTGAGAGTGTCTAGAAACTTTTCTAGTGTGGGCGCATAGCCGCCCTTCGGTGGTGCCATGGTCCAGGGATGATATACGCTCCTCTGCACAAAAGGGCGAGTGTTGTTAAGAGACTGGGTGCGAGGCGCAAGAAGGACTTTTTTCTTCTTCTCCCCCGCTGGATATTATGCGCAAGAAGAAGTTGTGAAATAGGTTGCAGTTGCGCGTTCAAGCGGTAAGTTGAGTTGACGACAAAAATTTCGGTGAAGGAGAGGAAATTGTCTTCGCCAATTCCCAGAGACAGAAATTTTCTTTCAAGATGGTGTCAAGGTTGGTGGTATGCGCAAAATGTGTTGTGTGCTTGAAGCCCGCAAAGTCAATATGGAAAATAAATCCAATGTGAGTCAAGCTCGCTCAAGACCGGATACGGAAACGATGGGTAGCTGCAAAAAAATAATACGTATGATTGTTGGTAAGGTGAATTGAATGCGGGGTGAATACGGATACCAAAAGAGTCAACTTCGTTATAACGATTTCCAATACGGAATGGCGGGGTCCCCTACAAGAGACGGATTGTCCGTGACAATGGGCGTTGAAAATTCCGTTTAGTGCCACAATCCGACCAACCGCGATTCAGCATGTGAAGCGGGACCCAAACGCCCAAAGAAGAACTGAGAAGTCGACCACAATGACGCTAGACATGCCCCAGGCCCCCCAGCGTCTTCTCTTTTGGGTGAGGCGTCAGCGCAGTGGCCGCTGATGGTCGCCAATAGAGCGATAGCCAGCAGACCAGTTGGACCAGCTTACGAGGTTGAGCAAGCCGAAAGAACACTGTTGAATTCTTTTTACGCTGCGCCCTGAAACTCAAGTCGCCAAGCTCCCAACTCTAATTAGGCCGGATTGTTTCTCTTGCTCTTTCTTTTTTTGGTTCAATATCGCGGTAGACGGGTGGGCATAAGATTGTTCCAACAAATAAAGGGAAAAAGGGAAAAGGATAGAAACCATTCTGCCAAGTATCACCATTGTCGATCGACGACCGCAAACCCAAGCAGCGAGTCGCTGTTGGCTTAGATCTCTCCCCAACCCAACCGAGGCTGGGGATAAGTAGACAGACCCCCAACTTTTACCCATCCATTCGCACGCACACCCCATCGTCAGATCCGCCTTCCGGACAAACGTTGACGGGCGAGACACCGACCCCGGCCTTGGAATTTTTAGAATCTTTTTTTCTTTCTTTGGCCTGGTGACGATCCTGATGCCATATTGATCGAATCCCCCATCTCCCGGCTTTGGCGACCAGCTGCCCGTCCCTTGATGGCTGCGACGCCCATTGCCATACCATGAACTCTCTCAATATCATCTCCGCGCGAGTCTCTCCGTCATCGTCTCCAACCCCATCGCGTACCAACTCCCTGAGCCATGTTGGACTCGCCGCGTCTTCCTCGGACCATCTGACGACTTCGCAAGACGGTGCTTCGCAGAGCGACACAATCCATTTGACGGCCGAGCCGGACGAGTACACGCATGATAACCACGATCACGACGACTATGCCGATGAGAAAAGCCCCTTGCTAGGAGGTAACAGCGATTTGAAGGACTCGAACGTCCGCTCCCATTCGTGGCACGTACTCCCGAGCCGCTTTGCCAATAGTTTTATCAATTCCCTGCGCTGGGTCTTATCCACCATTGCTGCTCCAGGGGTCTACCTGATTGCTTGCTTCTACGACGAACGGGGCAATTTCAGCCCTTGGCGGCAACTACGGAGATTATTTGGGTCCTACGAGGGAGACATGGACAAGTTTTCGGAAGACTATCACGAGCACGTCGCTACAGGAGGCGAGAAGCAAAGCTCTTTGCGACGCGCAAGCCAGAGCGCGAAGGGCAAGCCTGCGTCGACCGCAGCATTACGTGCCGTGCCGTCTTCTGGATCGTCGTCATCAGGTGTCTCTTCGGAATCGGAATCAGATATAGCAGTCGGTAGCGATACATCCCGCCGCAGCTCTGGATCCTCCGGGCGACACACGCGTTCCAAGACGAGCGAGGAGATCGCGCCGGCGAGACGGTCGATCAGGATCAAGCTTCATAGCGAGGATGCTTTGCGACAGCGAAAGCACAAGAAGGCACAATCTGCCGGCGGTGGTGACTCCCCGGCCGACCTCTCGGCCCAGCTAAAGTCACCTACATCTCCCGTCAGCGCTCTCACCAAGTACCCCAAGACCCCTGCTCCACCTCGACCTCTTATACCACAACGGCAGCCTTCGTACATTCCGATCGAAACCCCAGATCCTGCACACCTCAAGACTCTGATAATAGACTTGGATGAAACCTTGATACACAGCATGTCCAAAGGTGGCAGGATGGGTTCAGGGCACATGGTCGAAGTGCGGCTGAACACGACATACGTTGGAGCAGGAGGACACCAGACCTTGGGACCTCAGCATCCAATTCTGTATTATGTGCACAAGCGCCCGCACTGTGATGAGTTTCTTCGAAAGGTATGCGAGGGTCATGCCCCTTCCCACCTTGGCCGCGCGCTCCGGAGAGCATGCTAACCCGGACTGCAGATTTCCAAGTGGTTCAACCTCGTAGTTTTTACCGCGTCTGTTCAAGAATATGCTGATCCCGTGATTGACTGGCTCGAATCCGAGAGGAAATATTTTACTGCCAGGTACTATCGACAACACTGCACGTTTAGACATGGAGCTTTTATCAAGGATCTGAGCTCGATAGAGCCAGATCTTAGCAAGGTTATGATTCTAGACAATAGCCCTCTCAGTTACATGTTCCATCAAGGTAAGGCAGGCAACTGCTCCGGATCCCTGCTTCCGGCTCTACCATATCAAGGAACGAGTGGATGGCTAACACGAGTGCCTGATGCAGATAATGCCATTCCGATCCAGGGCTGGATCAATGATCCGACGGATAATGATCTTTTGCATCTGGTGCCCCTGCTGGAAGGGTTGCAGTATGTGTCCGACGTCAGAGCCCTACTTGCATTAAGGGGCGGCGAGGACGGAAGTCATATATGAGAACCTGTGTTAGCCTGAGGGCTACGGAATTGGAGTTTCCAGTGTACATGATTTTCCAAGGCAGCGAGTTACTTCTGGAACGGGTGGATTTTGGTTTTTCCTCGCATGGAAGCACTAGAGCACGCAAAAGCATTTTGCTTTGCATATCGTAGTCACTAACCATGTGGTAGCTGATTTTTTTTACCTTTCCGGGTAATACGAAATGCAAACGATGCAATTGCGTAACAAGCAGGACACCAGCCGCGGTTTTTGGCTGGGCGTGGGTCACACTATAGTGCGCAAGTTTTTTTTTCATGAATGTGATGTTACTCAACGCTGGACTTGCTCTGTCGTCATATCATTAGTTTCCTGACCCAGCTGTGTTCGAGAAGGCTCCCCCCGCTGTTCCCCAACAGAAAAAAGAGAGCGGGAGTAAGAGAAATGGGCTTGGCTTGACTTGATGTGGTCATCAGGTCAAACTGTCCATGTCCAAAGCTGGTCGAAACCCACTTCCCCGCAAAACAGTGAGCCAGGGGGGGAGACATTGAGCTGGATGGGCGATCTACAACAAGTGGGTATAGCAAACTGGTAAGCACCAAGGTTTCCCACGATGAAGTGTATAGACAATAGCAATAGTATAACGAGCAGAATTTCGGGAAGGGGGCATATGCTGATATACTGGTATTCTTCTCCTTGTCTTATACCAGTCCTTCCTCGTTATATTGACGCGATAATTCATGGTTGAGGCGTCATGCTACAATGGTGAAACCTGGGGCAGAGACTCTTCTGCATAACATGGACGTCTGGAAGTGGATGTACTCAGGAGCGAATGTTCCTAGCGAAAGGAGTAAAAAGACGCACAGCTTGAGCTCGGATAGGGCCGGGGAGTCCCACTGTGAGTCGATCGATTGAACTACCAGAACCACCTAATACTGTGCCTGGCAGAACAGATCCCAAGTGTAAAATTGCTTTCCCATGCCTGCCTACCAACCTCATGTACGCATGACAGCTACGGAACAGCATCGCAAGAGTCTTTTTCTCTGCCGCGTCTTGTGTTTGCATATTGTGCAATTTCCCTTCACCCAACCTTGCTTGAAGGAAAGCTCGGGCCCATTTTTCAATACCATGGAAAGAAAGAAAGAAAGCAAAAGACAAGAGCTGAAATTGAAGCTTCCATGGATGAACTTGGTCTCGTAGTCAATTACGTCACACTTACAGCTGCGCAGTACATGTAGCTTGGCCTCGGGTTAGCAGCCCCCCAGAGGCCACCCGGGTCTAGATCACGATGCAGAAGAGGGGAGGAGCGGAAAGTGAAGGAAAAATGGGCAAGAGAAGCGGATTTGTCCATGTGAATTGTTAGATTCCCTTGTCCTTGTTTGTCCTGCGGATGAGCCTCGTTCCCACGCTAGAAAGGACGAAGCTCCGGATTGGATCATTGTGCCCTTTCGTCATTTGGAGAAACCCCCCCCGAAAAGCTACATAGGTACTGGGTTTTGTTTGAGAAGCAGTCTTTTGAGACACCTGCTGCCAGTTCCCGGATTTTTTCTTCCAGAAATAAAAGCTTGCCAGTCTCGACATCCTTTTGTTGACTTTTACATCTACCTGCTGTCCTGTCCATCAAATCAGACTTGCAATTGACTCTCACCAAACCACTTGTTCATCTCCTTCACACACTACCACACATATCATCATGTCTCTGCACTGTAAGTCTTACCTTTTCATTGCAATACCTTGTGTGCTTTGGTGCTAGAAAGCAATGGAATTGGCCAGGAGACTTTTTACCTGATCCTGTGCCACGACCGGCCATGTGGGCATCACGAGTCAAAATAATACAGATCAAGCTGTAGACAATGTAGCTGACTATGCAATCACAGATCTTCCCCCCGTCAAGCCTTCGGCTATTGCCCTGGGTACCATCTTTAACCACTCCGTTGAGCTGGCTGGTATGTAACACTCATCTTCCACTCTCTCATATCGCCCCGAGATTACTCTAGTACTAACAGTCGGCTCTTGCGCTCATCCAGTCCTGACCCCCCTCTTCGGTCAGACGTACAACCGCGCCAAGGCCGCCAACACCAAGGAGGAGTTCCTGCGCTCCAAGGAGGCGACCGGCGCCGCCGTGGCCTGGGGCACCTCGCTCGTGGGCTCGGCCCTGCAGTCGTACGGCGTGGGTGCCCTCATCAACGCCACCGGCACCCTGAGCTACAAGGGCGCGGCCTACCTCGGCGCCCTCATCTTTGCCGCCACCTCGGCCCCGACCTACCTGGCCCAGCTCTTCACCGAGAAGCGCCCCTCGGACACGGTCGCTGTCGGTGCCGTCGCCAAGCTCTTTGAGACGGTCGGCCTGGCTACCTTCCTCACCTGGTGGGGAACCAGGACAAACCCTTTCGAGTAAAGGGTTTATTCATCAACTCTTCCAAGTGATGGGAAACCCCCTTCTCGTGTTTTAACTATATCCAAGAAAACAAGAATAATAAAACCCAACAAGACATGGAGTTGGAATGGGAATGGGAAATGACATAAGCAAATGGAATTGGAACTGTTATATTAGTCCCCTAACGTGAAGATGAAATCAGAAAGCTTTTGAAGCTGGGTATTAGCATCATTAGCATATAGTTAATCAACTCACCCAATCTCAAATGAATGGCCTGTATCCCAATGACGTGAATTACGAAATTTGCCGTACTCCATCATCAGAGGTAACCTGGCAACTTTTCTTACATGTAACTTGACAAACCTCACAAGACAAACAATCATGAAAACTGTTGAGCTCAAACGAGCTTGCACGAGTCATCCTACGGTGAAATGCTGCAATAAGAAGTTTGTGATCAAGAAGCCTTTTGGATTTTTTATTCCCTACAAATATGTAGCTATACCCCTGAACGCCGATAGCCAAACCAATGGCCCATGATCCATGAAAAGACAACTCGCCAGAGCATGTCGGAATTATACACACTCGAACATGCCGAAACAGTCGGTCGCAGCGGGCGTTGTGACAACATATAGATGTCCGCCACCCATCCTCCCGTCGTGGGGTTTTCAGCAGCCGGCGCCGGAAGAACACCTCATCGCCCGCCACGAAACCAAGATCTTTGATTCTTCAACCATTGCGACCCCCCTTTGCGTGTCGATATAGAGACAGCCATATTTTTTTGAACATTCCATGAGACGGGCAAAGAAAATTTTCACATGTTTTTGCCTTCTGCTCACGTGAACTTGAGCTGCTTGGACTCCTTCTGCACAAGCTTGACCAGGTCCTTGTAGGTCTCGGCAAAGTCCTCATCGACAGCCTCCTCCTTCTCGCCCTTTTTGCCGCCCGTCCGCTTCTCCGTGACCATGACGACGCTGGTGGGGCGCTTGGTGCTGCCGGCGGCGCCGAGCTCGGCGCGCGACGTGACGAAAATGTAGGGGACGTTGACGTCCTCGCACAGCACGGGAATGTGCGAGATGACGTCCATGGGGGAGATGTCGCCGGCCAGGATCACGACGCCCGGGAAGGACTGGTTGGTGGGACCCGAGGCTGGGGACTTGCGCAGGGCCTTGACGACCTCCTTGACGCCGCGCTTGAGGGTCTTGTTCTTTGCCGCTGTGGAGGGAAAGATTTGGAAATTAGCTCATGTATATGATGGTGCGAGCGAGATTTTCAAAGCAAAGGCTGCTAGCATGCGCAACCCATCGCTGGCTCCCAAAGAGGACGAGGAAAAATGATTCATCTGGGGAAAGACTTACCCTTGCGCACAGTCTTCAGGATCTTCTTGGTACCCTTCTCCTCAGCAAGAGGACGGGCAAACGGCACCAGGGCGCCGACAACGTGCTTTGTGACCTTTTCACCATCCTCCTCCTCAACCTCGACCTCGGTGACCTCGGGTGCCTTTTCGAGGGACTGGGCGGCGGCGTCGGCCTGCAGCTTGTCGTCGAGAGCAGCGTTGAGGACGGCAGTCTTGAGCTTGTCCTTCTTGTCCTTCTTCTCCTTCTTGTCGCCCTTGGTCTTGGACGACTTGGACACGCCGTCGGCCTCGGATCGCTTGGAGGACTTGTCCTTCTTTTCCTTCTTCTCGGGTTTCGTGGAGCCCATTGTGACTGTTTTTTTGGGGTTGTCTTTGACCGGACTGGTTTGGGTTGAAAAGTAAAGGAAAGAAATAAGTGGTCAAATTAAAAAAAGCGTTCTCGAGGTGGGTATCTGCGCAGGCTGTTCTTGTCTTTCCACGAGGTGGCAGGTAGGCAGGAGCTCGATAGCGATCTTGAACGAATCCTCGAAATTTTTTGAGCGGCCGTGCATGGCCAATTGAGAATTTCTGCGGGGAGCCCGTCAATGTCCAATCAAAAGCTCTGGATTGTGTGGGTACAGCTTATACTTGGTGCGCCTCGCCTCTTATCTTAGCGTCTGTAGACGCACCATTATCACAACGAGACATTCATTCACTTTGGCTTTACTCGGGCTTCACTCGGGGCTTATTGCCCAAATGATGTATAATTGTTAATGGCACGACTTTGCTCAGTTGGCAAGGCTAGTGGTTGAGAATTCATGACATGCAAATATCATGAAATTCAAGTTTTATGAAATCTCCCGCAATAAAAAAGAGCACTTCGAGCGAGTGACAGAGACTACCCAGGTTGGAGCAAAGGCTCACATTGCACATACTCTTCTTGATCATAATTGTTCCATTATTATTTTTTTCTATCGTACACAGCTGGAACTGTTTCTGCGTTGCGTCGTCTACACTTCGTTGCGGCCGCAGGGCCATTATAGAGGATACGGGCTTCAATATATACACATAAGGGGCAAAAAGCCCGTATTAGGTAACGCTCATCAAGCGTGATGATGTAGGACTCGAAAGAATGCAGATTATTACAATTCAAGCAAATCTATCTGTCAAGGGCATTGTTTCCATTGCCCTTAGATGACGTACTATCGCGAAATGTTAGCTGGCTGGCAGTGATTAACGAGCGGGATTTCAACTGGGCTAAACTTACAGGGATGAAGAGGTATGGCACCTGCTTCTCGTACTGCAACCAAGCGTCGCCGTACTTCTGTCTGCATCTCTGGATATCTCTGATTGCACGGTGGGTAATCATGCAGCAGAAAAAGACTGGGTAGAACCAGGGGAACGGGCTCTTGAAGCCAGTGATGAGTCCCCAAGAGATTGCGAAAAAGGCGTCACAGGTGTAGTGGATCTTGCGGGCATAACCGTACCAGCCATCGGCCAAGATGCTGTCACCGGTGCTGGTCTTGATGATCTTGGGGTTGTGAACCTCCTGCCAAGGAAGCTGAGGGAAGGTCTTGCGCTTGACAAAGGTGCCACGTTCCATCATTCTGAACGAGTTCTTCTGAGCATTTGTCGTGTCCCAGATATAGTACATGCCTAGGTAAGCGACAAAGAGCGCCCCAAGAGCATACTTGTTCCAGGCATACTCGGACGGGTGGTGGTTGGCAAGGTACAAGGTGCAGTGGCAGTAAGAAAGGGGCACACCAGCCATGTTCCAGAAGATGAGCATGAAACCACACTTCTCGTAGTACATGTCCCAGGTGGTCACGATGAGATGCTCACCCTTGCCGCAAGCATTGGCGTAGAGGTAGTGGGCCATGACAAGGAACCAGACCTCGCCGGAGACATATCCGTAGTTCTCATACTGCCGGGCAGCGGCAGCGCAGCTGAGACCCAGCAAGATGAACCACGGGACACGAACTTCCTGGAACATCTTGAGATCCAGCACGCCAAAAGCCCTGGGATTTAGCTCGGCGCCCATGAAAAAGTCGTAAATTGGATAGCCAGTCATCCTGTGCTGGGCGCCGCGAGCAATGGCCGAGAAGTAAGCCACGAAGCTGACCAAGAAACCGGAGATAATGGCCACCGACATGAGAGGGCCAAACTCGTCCAGGAAAGTGTAGATGGGGAAGTAGCCACTCATGTGAAGAGCACCCATGACGGCAATGGTCACGTAGAGACTGATGAATGCCGAGCAGTGGTACTTGAGCTGCTTGCCACCTTCGTGGGGGAGCGGCTTGCCATAGGCAGTGAATCCAGGGGCAAAGACGTAGCAGAGGGCCTCAAAGACGTAGAAGCCCCAGTAGATGCGCCAAGCTCTCAGGTGCGGGTATGCGCCTGTGTACGCGAGATCAAAGAGATGTCTGCCAAACTCTGCCCAAGACTGGCCCTCGGCAGGGAAGGGAGCTTTGCCATCGTAATAGGTAGCACCAATCCACATGTAGTACATGAGCAGGGGGAAGCCAGTCATGAGTCCGAGGGTGCCAAAGCTGCCACCAAACTCGAAATGTCCCGAATGGTCGACCTTGGGGTCCATACCGGGCTTCCATCCGTCGACCATTTGATCCTGGTCCTTGGCGTGTCCATTGGCATGGCCATTGACGTGCCCGTTGGTATGACCATTGGCATGGCCATTCTGGGTTGTCTCGACGTGGCCGTTGCCATTCAGCGCGGCCGACACCTTTTCAGTAATAGCGCTGAACTCCTTCTTGGCCTCTGAGTTGTCAAAATCCTCGTCGAGGTTCTCGGAGAACTTTGATGTGACGCGACGGCGAGGAGGATTTGGCTTCGAAGCAGTTGTCTCTGCAGCGGAGCTCGAATCGCCCTCATCCGACGCGTTGTCTACGGAGGGAAAGCGCCCATTGCGCTTGGAGGTGCGGCGACCGGGAGTTTCGACCATGCCATCGAAAAGCTCCTTCTTTCTGTTCAACGGTACCGAGGTTAGCTTGAGGATTTCTTCTTGAGCAATCGACCACTTCAAGTGCGCTGAGAATGGTCATCAGTCCAGCGGGCCGAGGGGACTGCTTGACCCTCGTCCGCCTTATAGATTGCCATTTCTGTCTCAGACAGCGCTCGCTGCGCTTTTGATCGAGTCTGCGCATAAAGTGTCCTCTTTCCGTCTTTGGGTGCACTCACCGAGGCGTCTGGCGCAAAGAATAACGACTCGACATGATGAACCGGGGTTTGGCTCGAGAGCACAGAGGTACCAAGAGGGGTCAATCCGGAAGAGGGGAAATCAAGTGAGTGTAAATTGTTTCAATTGAAGAAAGTCCACCATGCAAAAGGAGTTCCAGCGACGAAAGACAAAAGGAATTCGGACCGGCAATAGGGTTGAGGCAACTCCCCCCCAAAACTTTTCGCGATCAATGACAACACGGTCTCCGTCAGGGGGCATATTAGCGCCGCTGTTTCCCCAAATTTTGTTGACAATTTAAGCGATTTAGCACCAATCAGAGCCCTCTGATCTCTCCAGTCGTAGCCCCGGCAGCGCCTCCTAGCTGCATCTACAGTGGGTCACAAGCCTTGAATATTGACTATTGTGAAATTACCGTGTACATCTCCCAATCCTATTCGGTTCAGATCGGGCCTCAGCTCAATTCGAAGTGCGACTTGCACATCTTGAGCTGGTAATACCGGGTATAGCTTTCAAAGGTAAGCAAAGGGAAATCTGGCGTTGTCGTTATCCACAGACATACCCATTATCAACTCTTGCAATGTCAGTACCACCACGATCTTGCCTCAATTCCCGGGCATTTCGAATGGAAATGACCATCTCTGCCCAATGGAGGCAGAGTTCTCATGATTCCAGGCGCCATAGAAGCTCTGCTACTGCTGTTCACAGAATCATCTGTCGAATCGCACGTTCGGGCCTCATCAACAACAAAGGGCTCGGTTTCACAGTGTCCGTCAGCCAGGATGCATGCTCGAGGATGTCCCCTTTTCTTGCCTTGATCATTGTACTTTCGTTCATGGTATTCAGCCGTGATAGCAGGAGTAGGAGGAATTTCAATATATCCAGACTTGACAATGGACTCTTGTTCGCAGAGCGCTTTCTCAATTCAAACTGAAAGTGTTAGTGGTCGATTATTATGTCCATGCTATTTCAACTGCTGGCCATGTTTATTTTTTATCAATGCCTTATTTCACTTTTTTTCCAACTTTTTGTTTCTGAAAATCATTGAAAAACTTGACATGACCTCAACTCTGGATTATTCAGATCTTTCTAAATCGCGGTCCCACAAGTCTAGGAGATCCTAAAAGTGCTTGAAATAACGTGTGGTCATTTTCAATCTCGCCCGAGTAATAAGGATCCCAGCCTGAAAGTTCTTTGCTCTATATATGCAATTCTTTTTTGGCAGCATTTTATAAAATGGATTTTACTCCTTGCAACTACAATACTTGTCTTGATTGTATATTCCTAGTGCTTTCTTGGCGCTCTTGGGACCATCAAACAGTCTATTATATGTATAAAGAGACTACTAAATATTAATGAAATAGCCGGTTTGTGGACGAAATCCTCTATCGGTTTATATTCGAAAAGATCCGCATAGTGGTATTGAAAATATCGCTTTATTCAATCATGCCAGTAACATCAAGAATCACAGCTCATGAGCGTATCATAGGGCCTAAGTGGTTAAGAGGAAGATTGGTTCATTTGATTTGGCTTCACAATGCCCCAAGGGGCATACTACCAATTGGACTTTCCTCTTGTCGCCAAATGAGCTTGCCAATTTCCTCAGATCTCACCGGTGAGTACCGAGGAGGGCTGGCAGCTCGGCACCAAATATATACAAGAAACTTTGATCTCTATGACCACCCCTGCGTCCATCATCTCTTGTCAACGACCAAGCGATTCTGGGATTTTCCTCTTCCAAGAAAAGCAATGCGTTCCGAGTTCGCCCAATGCAGACCTGATACCCTTATGTTTGTACAAAAATCAAAAAGTCGCGCGAAGGAAAGATGTGATTTGGTGATTCGTCGTTTTTTGACACGACAACCACTTTCGATGGCCATTTCGCTGCTTAAGCGGTCGGGCAAGCGCCTAGTAAGTTAACATGTTAGCATCTTCGTCTATTATTCTCCGATGGGTAATACGAACAGAGTCCTGAAGCCCCGGCGGCAGTAGCGGTGACAGTAACGGTCTCGGCATCAGCTCCTCCAGCTGTGACGGTAACCGTCTCGGTAGCACCGGCAGCGCCTCCAGCAGTCACGGTGACAGTCTCGGTGGCAGCAGCGGCTCCTCCGGCAGTAACAGTGACGGTCTCAGCACCGGCTCCGCCAGCCGTAACAGTAATCGTCTCGGCTCCCGCTCCGGCACCTGTAACGGTAACAGTGCTAGCCTCACCACCAGCGGCTCCAGAGGCGGTAATGTAAACGGTGCTGGCCTCGGCCGCAGCTCCCGAAGCAGTAACGTAGACAGTGCTGGGAGTGGCGGCAGGAGCAGTGACGTAGACAGTGCTGGCCTCTGCATTTGCGCTGCTAGTAGCCTGGACGGCGTCGTTGGAGCTGGCAGCTGTAGCAGTGACAGTGATGGTGGCGGCCTCGCCGTTGTCGGCAGGAATGGTCACGACAACAGTCTGAGGACCGGCAGGGGAGCCGCTAGCAACTCCGCTACCAGCGGCATAGGTGGGCGTGACAGTCAAAGAGCTGGTCAAGGTCTGAGTGCCAATGGTGACGGTAACGACAGTCTCGACAGCCTGAGCAGAGGTTGGGGTGGCAGAGGCAGTGACAGCATCGTTGGAGACAACAGTGGTGCTGCCGTCAGTTCCAGTGACGGTCGAGTAAGAACCGCCATTGCTACCACCGTTGGATCCTCCGTTGGAGCTTCCAGAACCTCCGTTGTTGTTGCCGCCCTCGGAACCTCCAGAAGAGCCTCCGTTGTTTCCGCTGTTTCCGCTGTTACCGCTCTCGGAACCGCCGGTAGAGCCACCAGTAGGAATAGGAACGGCAGTGGCAGCACCGGAACTGGCAGTAATGGTCATAGTGACGATGGAACCAGCAGAGTCGGTAGAGGTGAGAGTAGCAGAGCTGCTGACAATGCTGTCGATAATGGACGAGTGGATAGAGCTGGCAGCAGTGACGGGGCAGACGGTCGTGGTAATGTCAATGACGCTGGTGACAAGGACAGTAGAGATGGCCTCAGAGCCCAGAGTGGCGAGAGCACTCGAGTAGGCGGCAGTGTTGCTGGCAGCCGGGCAGTTTGTCACGGTAGGGGCGCAAGAGATGACGGTCTGAATGTTGGTGACTCCAACAGTCAAGGTCGTGACGGCACCGGCATCTGCAGTGGCGGTGGTTGTGGTGTTTCCAAAGGGAGCAATACCGGTAACGGTAGCATAAGGTCCAGAGCCTGTTCCTGTGACGAGAGGAATAGAAGCAGAGCTGCCGCTTCCGTAGCCAGTGTCACTGTTGTCAGTGCCGCTGGAGGCGCCGGTCTCTTCAGGTTCGCATTCGTCCTCAGTCTCAGTGGCCTCGGGAGAGACGGACGAGGCTCCGGAGGGAGAATAAGCGGATGTGCCGTTGGTGTAGGTGGATCCTTCGGTCTCTTCAGGCAAGCATTCGTCGTCAGTCTCGGTGGCCTCGGGAGAGACCGAGGAAGCTGCCGAGGGAATGATGGAACCCGAAGGGGCGGCTGGGGCTGAGCCGTGAGGAATGGCTGAGTAGCTGGCCTGAATGGCTCTGGCGTTCTGGGGCCTCTGGTAAAGGCTGCGGTGCTTCAAGTTAAGGGCTGAAGCCTCGGAAGAGAGCAGAACAATGGCGGCGAGGACGCCGGACTTTGAGAAATGCATCTTGTCTTGTTTTGAAACGCAGGAAGGCGAGTTCTTCGAAATGGGGAGGGAAAAGAAGAGAATGACTGAATAGAAACAGGCGACCTAGCACCAAAGAGTGGACTCAGCAAGCTGAATGTGAAAAGAATGTGTAAAAGAAGACGAGATGATGGCGATGGTGAGAGTAACAGTAGCTCATGGGGACAAGCGTTGCCTCTTAATACTCTGGCGAGTCTCCCCCTCTCGGCGGATCATACCATAGTGTACCAGCCATGTACGTATTCAGCCTCGAAAGCAATCTAGTCATATTGAGCTCGTTCGCCTCAGGCCATGAATGCCTGTCGTGGTTTTCAATATGGCCTATGCTTTTAATCAAGTTGCGTCAACGAGGCCCCATATCCCCGTCGACTTAGAGCAGACAGTAGCCCCAAGCTAGTTGTAGCCCGAGGTATGGGATGGGGAAGATCCTCTGGAGATTTCCACGAACCCTGTAGCAGATCCATGAGATCGCTCATGGGTAAGGGCCTGCGCCTCGATGGAAAGCCGAGCTGGGTAGTATTCGATGACGACTTGGGTCACCGCTCGTCACGCATATAGATGGGAACCAAAGACGGAAGTCTATGCCATGAAGCCATTGCTGTTTTTGGCTGTCCCCCTGAGGGGATTTATTCATGAGTGGATGTCTCGCTTGGCCGGGCGAAATCCGTGTAAGTTGGCGGCTCTGCTATTCTTGGCATATATGAGAGTGGACGCGTAAAGTCCAGCAGGCTCGGCTCGACTCTGCAGTCTCCGCCATCTACACTGACAGTCTCGATCAGCTCCTATCACAAAATAGTATGATGATGAAACTTCTTGCGTAGCTATCAGCACAAGCGCCTCACTTCAAAATATACGAGGCTGATGTAACATATTCGCTCCGATTGCCAAAAAGTTTCGTCCAGTGATGCCTGCTCTTCTACTCAACTAACTTGCCCGCCGAACGCCATCCCGTCAAACGTCGAGACCCCGGTTGCTCAAAATGCCCCTGCCAAGGCCGCCAGTCCCGCAGCTAGAGGCAAATCAGGACGCAACCGTTTGTTCGGAAACATCAGATGAAAGGGTACGGGGCCTCTGAGTCGCTGAGGAGGGAAATGAGCGAGGAGTGAATGTTTACCGGGTGGTTTATGCGTCAGGGGAGGCAACGAAAGGGAAAAGCTGAATGAAGACTGGTAAGAGAAAGGCCAGGTCGGCCGGTGGAGCAGGAGGACGACGTTGCGTGGGTCCCTCTCTGTTGCCGTCTCGGCCAATGACAGGCTCTGACGAGGGGACCCCCTTGCCCGATTCGATCGCCTTGGAGGCTCTTGGGCCCCAGTCGTCGGGGGTCCCTGTCATCAAAGACGACTCTCGCGACGACGCTGATGGTTTCATGTTTGGTGCACTGCTTCCTTCCACCAGCGCAGCAGCGCAGTACGTGGTCGCAAACGTTGACGCAGAGAGAGAAACCCGAACTAACGACGACTCAACCTGATTGTCCCCTCGTTGGCAGATGTCAAGAAAGAGTAACTCCCCTCTATCAATTCACGCGGGGGAGGGGCGGAGTGATGATGGATCTTAACCGTGAAACCACGACCAATTCATGCGCCGTGCAAAAGCAAGGGAGTTCTCCGATCAGTCCGGTCAACCTCTAGATATCATCAAAAACTAGCATTTAGTGACACTGGGAAGCCTCCGCCGCCGGTTTCCCATCATCTAGTGTGTGATGATCGATCATGCCTGACTTTACAGAGAGCCGGAAAACTTGCAAACATTCAAAGGTACGTCAGTGACAGCCCACAACGAACATGACACTCGCTCACTAGCTAATGAGCCCGGTCACCAGACAGGAACGAGCTTGCGGGATGACTTCAAGGCATTCGCTCCATGACGGCAGCCAGCAGCTGCCCCTCTCCCCATCTGCAAAGAATATATCCCCATCTTAAACTTGATTCAACATGATTTTAGATAAGCTTAAAATACCAATAGGTGTATCAGCTGGCCTCAGGCACGGGAGGTCGCCATTGTACGAAGCATGAAGGCGGGAAACACCACTTCCATTGGCGACACGGGGGGGTTCTTTGCTTTTTCTTATTCCCGCAAGACAATTTGCTTACCTTCCCGCCAGGTTCTTATTGGAAGCTGAAAGGAACGATTTGGTTGTTCCCTTCACTCTGAGAATGGATGCATGTGGTTGAGATCGTTTTCAGAGGTGATCGACACAGTCTAGACCCTGCTCTGCATATGATCATCCGCATAGTTGCCCCGATCCAGCACACGGACTATACCATACAATTGGGGACACCTTCAGCCCTATGGGATGACACGAGTCGACGAACTGGAGGTCACATTTGCAGATTGTATACCACTCGGCCTGTATTCTGTCTTCACTCCATGTTATGGAGGCCTTTTCACCATAGGACGCATATTGTTTTCTTCTTGTTGCCTTCTGGGGTCGATGCATCGCGGGACGGGTGTGCAGGCCAAGAAGGTCTACTCCTTTTGCAGGTGAGTATCCGAATGATTATTCTATAGGTTTGGGGAGTCTATAGTATTTCCCAAGCCACATTGTATCATAATTGTCTTGATATGCCGTGCTTCGTGTTCAGCCTCAGCCACGAAAACAGAGTCACATTCAACTATCTCGGCTCCGCAACGGCCGACGAGCACGACTCATTGGACAACCAAGAATACTCACACCTGAGAAAGTGACGTTGGGTCAATTTATTTGATCCAATGTGGAGTTCAAACCAGTTCGTGGTTGGGACGAACTCGTCTTTGCGCTTTAAGGTGGCCGCCGCACCGGAAATTATCCATGTTTCAACGCATGTGGGGAGAACTCCACAGCGCATTCTCCTGTTTCGTTTATACAAACATATTGCTGCGCCTTTTCTTACCAATGATACCATGAATATCAGAGGAAACCATTTTTTTCTTCCGACTTTTTCGACACTTTTTGACATGTGTGTTTTAGTTTGCGTAGGTCAGAGTCCCGACATGCATGAATATTGGCTTGATCATCAAACAACATGATGAAGTGTTTATCATGCCGTGCCGTTCCCCAGACTGCGTCTAGGTCGGGTTGAGCCGTCACAGTATCTTCCGCCCTTTTTTGTTCACATCTAGTACCAGTCGTTGACTGCTAACATGCCGAGCTTGTCGTGCATACCAACCTTGATGTCGGACCGTCCGCAGCAATGGGCCAGTCAATTGGACGACATCCGCAAAGGTTGAATGAGTTCTGCAGTCTGTGCCTGCATACAGCCCAGTCAGTACCGAGCTTGTCTTGGTCATTCAAGGGGGGGAATAAAAAGAGACTTCCCACAAATCATCACGTCACTCATACCCTTCAGGCATAACAGCCTCACGTGGCATAGGTTTGCGTCTTATTGCATCGCATCACATGGTGCACCCGACAGTTTGGGAACCCTGCCACGTCGAACAATCTTTCGACATATCTTCTTCCACCGATTCGTTTCTGCGGAAGCTTAGATCTTGGTATATCTCAATGTTCGGAGTCGGCCGTAACAAAGGTACCTTGATGCGCACCTGCTACGCCTGGTAATGGCATCTGGGAAACATGCACAAGATGTCATCCCACTCAGCACGCCGTGACTGGCGATACAATATAAATCATTTGTGTTGTCGGCCAGGTATGTCTTAGCCTAGAATTCGGGAATCGGTGCTGATCAGGTCCTCCACCCACAAGAGGTACAATACCCCAATCGAACGTGTCAGATGTTGGATGTACACCACAACAGCCCAGGCTGGCGATGAGACAGGGGGAGACAAGGCAACGGCTGAATCAGTTGCTTCTCTGTTTTCGGGCTGTGGAGGATACTGTCTTCTCCAAAGCATTTTGGTGAGCGCAGATGAGCTGGGCCCCGAGAAAGCCGAGCATCTTGTTGACGTCTGTGATCGCCTCGGCCCGTCATTCTTGAGCCGACATCAAGCTAATCATCGACGTTCTGATTTCCGCCTTGTTCCAGCACAACTAATGCTTGACCGACATGTGATATCAAGAAGTATTGTGTAATGTTTTCCAGGCCAGTTCGCGCCTAGAACGTTCGACGTTGGAATGGGGTCTGTCTCTGTGTACCCCGGAAAGTTGCGAGAAAAGGCCCACGTAGGTAGTGGCGTTTGCTGCGACCAACGGTTGCACGCCGCCCCAATGATGATCACGATGGCAGAAGTACTTCTGTAATAAGCCCATGTCGACCTGAAATAGACTTAAAAAGACACTCATGTGAGAATGCGGGGTATAGCTGATGTAGCTAAGGCATAGCAACACACCGCCGGGCAAGACGAGCTAGATACTTGCTGATGATTACAATGTACCTTGGTAGGCGCGTGTGTAGGGTTATGAGCTGAGAGTGCGATCCTGTGGAGATGTTGGCGTAGCGTCGGCACTTGTAGCGGCCTTGTACACTCGTCTGAACCAGTTTCTGCCTACTGTGCTCTTCTGTATTTGCTGTACAAGCCATGGATCCCCATGATTGCCAGCAATTGCTCGCCTATTGAAGTTGGAGAAGCAGGTCATAATCTTTTCTTAGTCAGACTTCTGACATGTCCGACCCAGACAGAAGATCTGATGGAAATGCAACGCTGCGGCCTCATGATCGTGCAATAGTAACACTATTGGCCTTCCTCTTCTGGAAAATCATCGACAGGACCAAAGAGCTAGCGTGCCCGCGATCTTGAACATGCCCCAGGAAAACAAATAGAAAGGCTTTTTCCCACCTTTGTTACTCACATGAGTAAAACACAGATCGGTAATTTGCTGAAGTGCGAGGGGGGAGGGGAAAAAAAAAAAAACACCAGATCTCTGGCTCCACAAGCCTTGCATGCAAAGCGCGAGCTGGTGCTATGCGAGTCACATTGCTTTCCCCGCGTCCAAGACCCTAGGCTGGAATCATAGAGGCACAATAGCCTTGAAGCAATCTTTTGAGAACATCACGGCCGATCATGCCGCTTTTGTAGGCGGTAAATGCCTGAACAGATTTATTAGTCGCACGTCTTGGATCCGGCTGTCATCAAAATCCAGTCTTGACCTGACAAGGTCAAGTGTGCTGGGCTGCAGGCAAGGCAAACAAAACAACACATAGTATAGCCAGGTAGCGCAATCCTGGGATGGAAAACTTCCGCATGAGTTCCACAGCGTGTACGATCCATACGAAGTAGCCACAGACGTCGCATAAGATGACTGTTGTTGGTCTTTATTTTTCGTCGTGGCTGACGGTTGGGCGTTTTATTCGCCGCCCAATCCTGCAGGTCAACCGCCCGAGCCAGCTCGTCCTAGGCCACAGGCCACGACAAGAATGAGGGTTTCGTAGTGATCATGACGTGGTTGTCCCTTCAATGCATGCCCTGGGTACGGGGTGCGGTGCGTGGTAGCATTGCAGATGCATAAGACTCTGTGCTGTTACGGCCATGTTACGTAGCGGATCGCGTGCCGTGGGACGCACACATGCTGGAAGTAAAGGAAGGGTATGCTCCAGCAATAAAGAAAAAAAAAATTCCCACCACTATATTGCGGTAGATTCTGTATGTTATCCACTCGTGTCATGGTTTTCTGCAGCAACAGGGATTATTCGAGTCATGCCCTTCTGCCAGCTATAGGTAGCAGCAATTTCCAGTGAACCGACCGCTTGGTAGTGGATGTCAGTCGAGACCATCATATATCCATTGAAATCGGGATGGTCGATTTTTAGATGGTTGATGTCTGCCACTCACTGTATTTGCTGATCTTACATAGGTACCAGATAGTAAGCTGTTCATAAGGACCATGACTAGAAATTTGGCTAAGCAGAACTCGGGCATGGGTTGATGATGATCAGCAAGGGTTCCCCAGACTTTTTGGACATGCCGGCGGTTGATCCCCCATGGGCCAAGCAAGCCATGGAAAAGCCGAGCGGGCGGCTCAGGTGGGCGTTCCATAGTACAACGTCGCCCAAAAGCCACAGCCGACAGAATCCTGGCCTACCATGGCTGCCTACCTGCGATCGTGTGAGCAGGCCATTGATCAAAAATTCGCTGACCGATGACATGCATTTCTTGAGCACGCTTCGAGTTACTCGCAGTCATTGAGCGCGACAATCTGACTTGAAGAGCTTGAAACATGTTTAAGCTCCGTGTCAGTGAACGTTGAAGGAAGGATTAAATTTTGGGGGTGCAAAACTGGGAATGGGATTTTTTCGATTGACCTCGGTCATCGGGATCGGGAAGTTTTGCAGCGATTCTTTTTTTCCCCCTACACCTTGGGATCTCGGAGAATTTCGTATGCAAGTTGCTGCGATAGTAGCGAAAAGCACTTATTACTTGACCTGCAAAAGAAACGGGAAGTGACGAGACGAGTGACGCTGAAACGGGGAACATCAAGCAGGGAATAGATTTCATCTTCAGCCGGGAAACTGGGGGGTTTGTTATTTCTTGATTTCTTTTTCGCCTTTTTGATTGAATACGATCGCTGCTGCATTTATGAGATTATTTCCATGGGTCTGCTTTTGTCTCTCTCTTTCCTTGTGTGACCTCTTCTTGTCTTCCTAGCATTCTTCAGTGGGCTGCAGTGCACTGGGTCACGACAGGTCTATACAGGGTTAGGGGGGGCTTACATAGTACACGGGGGGCTTACGGGAGCGCACGGGGAGACTGGGGCCACTGCCGACCAGACAATATTTCCTCAAGAACCAGCCAGGGGTCCTGCAGCAGCTGGGGTAGCGCTACTGAACGTGATTGTGATTGCCATGGTCGCATCCAGCCAGACATATCTTCCAAATCCTGAAATCCGCAAGCGATTACCAGGACACACACACACACATTAGACTTGTTGTTGTTGATGCGACGGCGCACTGACTGACTTTCCTACATGAAGACCCAAAGCAACCTGTTTCAAGCCGGATAATCCGTGTCTCCCGCTACTGACAAGCACCGCTCTGAAAAGATGTACGTTTGGACGGCTCACGGGCTCTTCAAAGAGGGGGTCGGGGACTTGGACTCCTGGTCCTGCTCCATGGCAGCGGGACATGATGTATCATGGTCATGTCCCAACGTCTTGTCCCAAGCACCCTCTTCTGGCCTGCCGCTTGAATGGCTTTTCCTTAGGGCCAGAAACATTGATCCAGTGTGTACCGAGCAGAACCTGCCCTGGGCATATCATCAACCGACCTGATTCGTGGAACAGCAAGGTTATGTCGCTCGTCACGGCACGTATTATCATGATCTTCTCCATCATCAGCATCATCACTTAGGCCGTCGTCGTTGGGCACGCGCTACCAGTAGTAGCCCTGCACCCGCGCGCTACCCAAGTAACCTCGCCGCATCGAAAGTCAATATCCTCGATTTGGTTCCGACTTTCCGAGCGTAACCCGTCTTCCTGTTCAGCTCGTCCATTCATCAATCAATATAGGGCTCATCTCATATCGACTGGCCAGCCTGTCAGCGGCGGCAGCGTCGGTCCTGGCCTTGGACTTGGACCACGGACTCGTTTCGTCTTTCCGACGTGTCATTGCATCCTCGGCCCTGGCGTCATCCAGCAACTACAAACCAAGTCTGCCGGCCCCTATAGCAGGTTATGGAAGGGAAAGCTACTTATTCCAGGACTGCAGCCGTTGCAGTTACACGTGGGTCCAGCCAAGTACATGCGTACATACACTCCGTCCATCCACTTACCCCAATGTCTCCTCCCCCTCCCCAGTCCCCTTTCGAGCCGCGAGCCGGCGACCTCGCGCGCTGCCTCGTGACCGGCAGATCTATTGCCATATCCGGCTTATAGCTTGCATCGTGAACTTGCTACTAGGTAGACAAGATGGAAGTACTTTCCGTCTTTCTGTCTCTGACCGCTTGCTTGCAAAGGATGAAGAAGAAAAAATTCTTCTCGTCACTTACAGCGCCGCCGGTCTTTCTCGGCCGCAATACCAAGCCCTTCTGTTTCTCGTCCTCTCTATGGTTGATCCCGGGCCTAGGACGCAACCAGCGAAGCCCAACCTCGAGTGAGTAACACCAGGAAGATCCAATCATCCTCGTGCCAGGAGAAAAAGCCGTCCACTCTGCCCTTTTGGATTGACTATTGGTCTCTGATGCACCCGAACTGGTCCTTGGGCTTGCTTCGCGATGTAGCCTTCGGCTTTCCACCCCCCAAAAGTCACTTTAAGCACAGCATCGCCGCATGCGCTATGAGGTTTGTCCTGCAATGATTAAGCGTTCATCTTGTATGTTTAGCGGGCCAAGCTTATTTTCCCACCACGCGGTGGAGTCCATGCATGGAAGAAACGATGCATACCACCAAGGCTCGTGATCTTTCCTACCAGGCCTGGCCGACAGCAGCCACCATAGAGCCGCTAGTCCGTGTCTTCGACGTATGTACACTCTCGTCTCTGTTGACAAGCGCATCTGATCTCATCGGTGCACCCCTTTCAAGACTACCTAGGAAACATGGGTCTAGGTCTGGTCGGTCATAACGTTTCCTCACCATTGGGTCCTATATAATGTCCTGCCTTCGCCCAGTTGGTGCTGGCGATCTTACCCCTTTGCTGTTGGATATCACGAAGTCTTGTCTCTCTCCTTCATATTTCCTCTGGCGGGCTAGGATAACCCTTATCGGATACACCTTTAACCTTCAACCTGCTTGTGATTTTCCAATCCTCTTTTTCCTACTTATCCGTCGACAAACCTTTCTCGTCATGAAGTTCAATTCGGTAGCGGCGGCCCTTGTTGGGCTGTCTGCTCAGGCAGTCAATGCTGCTTCTACATTCTCGCCAGCAAGACCTCCAGCTGCTCCTATTGCCGTCAAGTCACCTTATCTCAATTCTTGGCTCAACGCAGGAAGCGATGGTGGCAATGGGGGTTACCTGGCTGGCGAGTGGATCACATTCTGGGAGTACGTTATCTTTGTCATTGAACTCTCATTCAACCTTGAGCATCTCTAACAAAGTTACCTTCTAGTCAAGGTATTACGGCTTGGGTAGGACTCATCCGCGTAGATGGAGTTCCATACACCTGGATGGGTGCTCCTCCCAATTATCCACAGGTAGTGGATCAAACAGATTTCTCCTACACATCCACTCGAAGCACCTTTATCATGAATGTTGGTGGCAAGGTTGGCATGAATATCACTTTCATGTCTCCAGTCACCCCCAATGATCTCAAGAGGCAATCTTTGACATTTACCTACCTTGATGTGGCCGTCGAGTCGATTGACGGTGCCAGCCACGATGTTCAGCTTTATGCAGATGTTTCTGGAGGTACGCAATACTTTTGCTTGATTCTTCAGTTACCCGGGACTGACCTCATCATCTAGAATGGGCTTCTGGTGACCCTGCGGCCGTGATTACATGGGATACCAACACGGCAGACGGCGTTCGATACCATACCTTTCAGAGACAAGACCAAGAAGAATTCTCCGAAGTTCGCAACCAAGCTAGCTGGGGAACTTGGTATTGGTCTACTGCTGACACGGATGGTGTAAGTATAATTAGGAAACTCTTGAAATATCACGTTGCTTACAATGTTTAAATAGATCACATATGAAAGCGGTATCGATGTTGATGTACGCGCCAAATTCAACAACGACGGAGTGCTGTCCAACACCAAAGACACCAACTTCCGTGCCGTCAATGACAATTGGTGAGTCCAATGCACTGGCTTTGAGAAGAAACAGACTAATCGCCCGTACAGGCCTGTATTTGGATTTGCCAAGGACCTTGGATCAGTCGGCTCCGCAAGCGTCTCGACATTGTTTTCTCTTGGCCTGACCCAGGACAATGCTATTTCGTTCCTGGGCGAAGGAAGCAGTTTGACCTCTGTTCCATCTTTGTGGAAGAGCTATTTCTCAAATGATCTTGACGCTGTAAGCTTTCTCCTCATTACTTGCAGTAGGATCAAGACCTCTGACCACGACTCCTAGGTGACATTCTTCTACAATGACTATAATGAGGCTTCCAGCCTGGCTACGGATCTGGACAACAGAGTTGCTTCTGATTCGCTAGCTGCCGCCGGTCAGAACTACCTGACCATCACCAGTCTTAGCGTCCGCCAGGCGTTCGGTGCTCTGCAGTTTACCAACACCGACTCCGAGCCGCTCATCTTCCTCAAGGAAATCAGTTCGAACAGCGATATTGAGACAGTGGATGTCATTTATCCATCTATTCCCTTGCTGATCTGGGCGAACCCCAAGTTATTGGCTTACTTGCTCGACCCCCTATTTATCAATCAGGAGAACGGCCACTACCCCAACACCAACGCGATTCATGATCTGGGAACCTTCCCCGTTGCCAAGGGCTATCCAGATGGATCAGACGAGCCGATGCCTTTGGAAGAGTGTGGAAACATGATCATCATGGCTCTCGCTTATGCTCAGCGTGCTAGCGATACTGCCTACTTGAACACTCACTACGCCATCTTGAAGCAGTGGGCTGGTTATCTCGTCGATGAGGCGCTCATCCCCGCCAACCAACTCTCTACTGATGACTTTGCTGGAACCCTGGCGAACCAGACCAACCTGGCATTGAAGGGTATCATTGGACTGCGCGCCATGTCTGAGATTGCCAAGCTTACCGGAAACTCGGCCGATGAAAAGACCTACGGTGATACAGCCACATCGTATATTTCTCAGTGGCAGAACTTGGGCATCAACAGTGCCGCCAATCCTCCACACACGACCCTCTCGTACGGCGACGCCGACTCGCACGGTCTCTTGTACAACTTGTACGCCAACAGTCTCCTCGGCTTTGGTTACGACTTTGTTCCTCAGTCTGTCTACGATATGCAGAGCAACTTTTACCCAACCGTTGCGCTCGAGTACGGTGTGCCGCTGGACACTCGCCACACCTGGACCAAGTCTGACTGGGAAATGTTTGCTGCCGCCATTGCCAGTGTAGAGACACGCGACCTTTTCATCTCCAAGCTCGCCAACTGGATCAACGTGACGCCCACCAACCTGGCCTTGACCGATTTGTACGATGCTGCCACGGGCGACTTTCCCGGCATCACGTTCCATGCCCGCCCCGTGGTTGGCGGTCACTTTGCTCTGCTGGCTCTGCCTTGAGAGGGAAATGAGTTGACTTGATGCTTTAACTGCGTTGGGAGATGCATGAAATTTTTTTCTGCTCTTTAATTTTCTACCACTTCCGTTTCCATCGTTCGTTCCATACCACTCCAGCGCTGCATTTACAAACGGAGAGCGTTTGCATCTTGTTTCGTTGTTGCTTCATTTTTCAATATATTGATACCCACCTATTTCTTTTCTCCACATTTCCTGTCGTGTCTCAACTTGAGGCAATGGCATTATTTTTGGTCCCATTAAACGCGTACGGTGTTGCAAAGGAAAATGGAAAGACGCATTGGATACGGTCGCTTGCATGAGGAAGCATTACAAAGTCATGAGGTGGTCTCTAGAGGGCATGAGGAGAAGATGGGCATGTTTTGCATCAACGCTACGGCAACATATCTGTTTTTCTTCTTCTTCTCTTAGGGAAAGGGGGGTCATCAATCACAAGCGGGATTTTGCATGTTGGGAAGACATCTTTGGGGGGCGGCTGGAGTTGTGAAGTAATTCCCGGAGCGTCGGTCGTTTCTGTGATTAATCTTATCTACTGTTTCCCCCCCTCCATTCAAGAAATCATGATGGGGAAAAAAAGAAACTGTATCTTTGCCACTGCAAATGTTATTATGCATGTTATCTTTCTCGGACATGAAAAGTCAAGATAAGAAAAAGCACGTGGACCATCAATCGCTTAAATTCTAAAATATTATCAAACAATTTCACAAGCATTCTGGCTGAAAAGTTTAAACACTTGGTCAAGTGATCTCACTGAATTTGAATCAGATCGATATCAACTGGGACATCAGGAAGATGGGATAGCTTCTGGTCGATAATGATATATTTTTGTGAACCTTCTGCACTGCTTCAAACATAAAATGAGAGGTGCAGAGCGATAAGAAGAGCGTCATGGCCTGGATTGTTCAGTCTGCCTCTCAATCCTCAATCATGGCTTACAGGTTGCCCGCATTATGCACTAGGAGAAACTTGCATGAATTCCAATTCCCACTGGAGCCGATACACACAAGTCAAGTTGTCAATATCGTCAGAGGATCTGGTAGCTGTGTCCATTCACTACTGATGCTATGTATTCTTCCGCCCCTGTTCAAGCAGCTTGAATCACAAGCTTGCAAAAATATATCCTATAACCATGCTAATACTACAAATGAATCTGATTGATGACTCCATGCGCCGCTGCTTCTTGTATGTTTTTGTCGTGAAATGCTATAGTATATAGTTTCGTAATTTGCTTCCTCTGGCCCTTTTCTTCTACTTTGGACCTGAGCTGCTCGCTCGTGATGCTGTTGAAGCAGTATTGCTTTTCTTTCCTCCAACAAAACAATTGAAAATACAACTTCCTCTGCTGAGGCAAGATTCTGCGCAAGCAGTCATTCTTTTTTTTAGTCAGAGATGGCGCTCTCATCTGGCAGGTCGCTTGCCTTCAGAGGTCCCTCCTTATCCAGCTGCAAATTGGCTCTGGTCTTCTCTTGGGCCTCGATGAATCGATCCCATTGCGCGGGATCTTTTTCGCGCATTCTCCGAAGAATCTCAGTTCTCTCCTCCTGGAATGTAGCAATTGCGCCCTTGGCTTCGACCTTCTTTCTAATGTCTTCGGCTTCGGTGCCGAGATCCTCGAGTATATGTTCAATCTGCCTCTTGTGGTCAGGATCATTGCCAATCTCGGATTCGGCACCAGTAAGCAGATTGTAGTGCGATTGAATAAATCCTCGCCGGAATTTGTGTCCAATACGCAGCGCGCGACCTTCTTCCTCGGCCAACTGCTTCGAGGTGTGGGACATGATGGAATTGGACCGAGAACGTGATGGTGACCGAAGCTCGGTCTCGAGCTCTTCTGTATCCGAGATAACAGGGTCTGCCTCCAGAGACGAGAATGAGGCACCTCGCTGGGGTGGTGCTGGAGGAGCATAGTTTGGCGCCATGACGGGCCCAGGGTCCTGGCGAGTTTCTGGAAATTCGTCTTCAAAACGGCCAATGATTTCCACGAGTGTCTGGTCAAGGAATAGCAGACGGTCTAGATTTGCGTCAGTATGGCTCATGGGAAATGTGATTTGCGAATACTCACTGTAGTTGTTCATGTCCTGTCTAGAGCTTGCCTTAGCTTGAGCTAGAGCAGGTTGCAGGCGAACTCTGATCTTGCGAGCACTGGCAAGCAAATGTTTGGTCATGTTCTTCGCCTTGCCAGCAGGTACCTTGGCCTGTGGAGCGCTCGTGCCAGTCTCAAGGTCCCTGATGAATTCTCCAGAATTCCGTCTGCTGCTTTGGTCCAAGTTGTTCAAGCAGCAGGCAAGTGCCTTGACAACACCAGTACCACCAATGACATAATCCTCATCGGGAGCAGCATTGGCATCAATGTCCTCCAGATCAACAATAGCAGCATCCTCCTCATAGCCAACGATGTGCCGCAACACGTCCGGATACTTGATCTTCTCAAGAATTTGTTCGCCGTTTGCGCTGTCCCGGAGGCCTGGGGCCATCCGCAGATTACGAAGACAATAGGCCAAAACCTGATTCGCCAGAGCCTTGACCACATCAGAGGACTCTGCGCTGGGAGTATCTATGTCGATCTTGACGAGCGTTTCTGAAACTCGGGCAGCTGCGAGGAGCGAAGCGTACAGCGCACACGCTTCTTCCTGTGCTTCTTCCGTCTTGGCGTCGGCCAATCGTACAAGCTCTGGATTCTCCAACAGGTTAATATGCGCCAAGGTGCTGACCTCTGGCAGAATTTCTGCAACCGCAATAGCTTGTTCAGAGGTCATGGCAATATCTGCAAGATGAAGACGCTTGAGCGCGTCCAGCTTGGGTAGATATCTCCTGAGCAAGCCAATGGCGCTTGGTTGGGATTCGCATAGCTCATGGTTGTGGGATAGGTCGATGAATTTGCAGTTCTTGATCTGCGCCAACTTTGGCAAGAGTTTGCAGAGCGAACTCGGTTTGAGGTTGCTATTGGCCAGACTCAATGCCCATAGCGACTCGTTGTTCTCGTCAATTGCATCGGCAATTGTTTGTAGATGATCCCTCAGGTCGTTACCGCCCAAATCAAGGCCTTGACATTTCCCGCCCTTTAGGTATCTTGCGACATGTCCAATGCCCTGTGTATCAAGATCATTGTGGGCAAGACCAAGACGCGAAATGCCCGATTTCAAACAGCCGTCAATAACAGCGCCCAGTTGCACATTCGTCAACCCCGTTCCGCCCAGGTTCAAAAGTTCAAGCTCAGAACCGGCAAGTCTCTCAGCCAAGGACTTGGATAAGAGCAGAGAAATATCGAGCTGTGCCACCGACGCAGCATGGTGGTGAAAGTGCTGCGAAATAGGCGTCGACTTGGGCGGCTCGGCGGGAGCTGGAAATGTAATGCTTGAGAGGTCAATGCATTTCAGCGAGCGGCACATGTGGATAAACAGGCAGATGTGCCTCCAGGAATCAACTCCGAGTTTGTTGTTTTTCAGGACGATGCGTTCGACAACACCGCCTTGAGGGCACAAATCTGCTGGCTTGGTGATGCTCCGACGGTTTTTGGCCCGCTGCTTTTTGCAAGCCAGAAGTCCGGCCAGGACAACACGAACACCCTCATCCGTTAACCCACAGTTCTCCAGGACAACCTCCCGGACAGGCACGACCGCAAAGAAATCGCCGAGTGTGACCAGATCTGGAAGCGACATGAAGTAGTCGCTCAGGTCCAACTTCTCAACGATCCCGTCTGGATTTCCCACGACAGACTTCGGGAGTTGGGAAGTGATCTTGGTTAGGATATCTGTTTCGCGTAATTGGCAGCACCTCCGGTATATCCGCCCAGGATTCGTCGTCGGCGCATATTTGGCTGGCCTGGGTATTTGAGGCACTACAGCATCCTCGATCGAAGAATCGCTGTCCAGGTGGATTTCCATGGGAATCGCTCCCTTTTCGAGCGCTTCTTTCCGCTTTTGCTCCTTCTTGGCCTTGCGTTCTGCCTCACTCTTCTTTTTCTTTTCCTTTTTCCGAGTGTTTTCTTTCTCCGGCTTGGGCACCTCGCTGGCTACAATGATACCTTCCTTTGGCTGGCCATTTGTTCCATTCTCGGTAGTGCCTTGGCCCTCTGCAGCAGGTTCTTTCGGCAGCACTTCGCCAGTTGCCTTTACGACACCATCCTGCTCCTTCTCGTCTTGCACTTCTTGAGGTCGCTTGAGCGCCTCGCCCTCGCCCTTTTCCGTGACTTTTCGCTTTTGTGTCTTCTCATCTGACTTATTTGAAGAGCCATCCGAGTCTGTATACTTTGGCATGGGGGCAATTTCGACATCCACGCAAAATGCCACTCGTCGTAACTTGGCTTGATTCAGCTCAGTCAGCTTGGGCCTTTCTCTGTGCTTGTCGACATTCAGCACACGGCGCTCTACTAGGCCATGATTGTTCCTGCCTGGTATTATCGAGCCGCTTGAAGATGACTTGCGCCGAAACACTTGAAAGAATCCCGGCTGGCCGTTTCTAGGTGGCGCTGGTACATAGGGCCCGTCGCCAGACTGCCTCGTCGCATGTGGAAGTACAGCATTCTTGTTCGGAGATATCCTTGGCAAGGGCGCAACATCATCCTCATCGGCTTGCCCTGGCGCAGGAGTCGATTGTTGTGCGTTGGCAGGCGATGATGAGAAAGGCGCTGAAATCTTGGAAAACCATGATCCCCTTCGTTGCGGTGGTGTCCCATTTGGCCCGGGACTCTTCTTCTCATCAGCCGAAGTGTTCCTCGCCACGCCTTGCGGTCGCTGGGGAATCGCTTTGGCGCCTGGAGGGGTTGCGCTGAGGGGAGGTGAAGGTGGTGGTGATATCGGCGCGCCCTTGCCGTTCACTTTACTGGGCGTGCTTGTTTCTAGAGGCAATCCACTCGTAGAGTCGTGTTTGGGTGGGGATGAAGATATCGGTTTCGCATTGTGCTTGGCTACCTTGTCTGTTTCAATACATGTTTTTGTCAGTCTGGTGAATCTTGGCTGGTAGATTCTGGGCGCATCGCTACAAAAGGTGATAGCATGGCCTAGGTTAATGCGCGAGACCACTGACCTTTCCCATGGTTCATCCAGCTCACATCAATCACTTGCTCCATTCTGGAATATTGCCAGCCGGCAGTAATAATAACAGAAAGATTTCACCAAGCCCCCTCAAAAAGAGGCGTTTGAATTAGAACTGTAGGTTGATCGCAGAACAGTTCCGTCGGTCGCTTTCCCAAGTGCGCGCGGGGTGGAGCCTGGGGCAGATGCGCTGCGCAGCGCTGAGCTGAGCTCACGGTGTCCGTACAGTTGGTACGTAAGTAGTAGAAAATCCGATCGGGGTACGGTGGCGGATTCGCACACGCACACACAAGTACCGGTGGCCGAATTGGTAATGTACTGATCTGTTCGGGTATCAAAAGTGTTGCCAGGCGGTGTATTTGTCACCAATGTGAGACCAGCAGCCTCTTTTTCAACAATTACCAACACAGCCTATCTTTCGATAGCGAGGTTCTAGATTCGAGCTGCGGCTGTGGGGATGCTGGACGTGTAGGTCTCATGGGCAAGGTTGGCCGAAAGCTAGAGGCATCGGTGGCGGGCCATGGTTGAGAGAAATGGGTTAGGTGATAAGCCAAAAAAGAGGAAAACAGAGTTCAGTTGAGCTGGCGAGAACACAGGTTCGGAAACACGCTAGATTCCGTAAAGTAACTCCAATGCTACACAGGAGAAAGAAGAGGGAGACGGGAAACCGAGAGGGAAACACAAGAGGAGATATGAGAATGGAGGGTTGGTTGAGTGAGAAAAAAAAAATTATTGCTTGTTAGTACAAGTCGATCATCAAGTGAGGCTTGTCGTTGAAGGCCGATATCGATAAATGGCCTCGTTCATTCCTCACGTATGAGCTAATTATACGTACAGTACCATATACATCAACCAAGCCCCAGTTGCTGTGAATAGTTTTTTATTTATTTATTTATTTTGGAATAACTCCGTAGCACAGGATAGGATAATAATATGCTGATGTGAGCTGATCACTGAGAGCTAGAGGCAGTTGGAGTTTGGCGGATGCCGGCGAGCTCAACAGCCACAAAGCATGCGATGGGCAGGGTCCTCTGTCTTCAGTGCTGCTTTCCTTGGGTCCGCATCAAGCTTTAGCGGCGCGCTGGCGCTGGGTGTTTGGCCGGATCGTCCTCCACTATTCAGTGCTTTTGGTGGACGGTAGACCGCATCAAGACGTCTCCTCCACCTCCCCGGGCCAATTGCAGCTGAGGGCTACTGGAGTGCCCGGTCTTGCAGTGGGCAAGAATATTGGAGAAAACAGCTCACACCGGGACTTCCAACCCCCCTTGCTAGGCTCATAGGCCCTGTTCTCTGGGGGGTCTTTGCACGAGACCCTGATGCGAGAGCAACGACGTCAGTTGAGGAGATCGTCACTCGCCCCCCGAGCTCCGATTGCATATTAGTGCTGAGAGGCCAGAAGATCCCTCCAGAATCAACCAACTACATTATATTATTACCCAAACTATCAAGAAACAGTGCGAGATCCTCCTGTGCCGGAGTAAAAATTACTGAGCTGCCAAGCTAGCATGATTACTGGTATCAACCACGGCCATTCTTTCTTCATTGGCACAATCTGAATATATTGCATGGCCACACACGACAATCCACGACATATTGATGCTGAAATCAGTGGACCTCGTACGACATTTGCAGAGTACGTAGTATCAATATCTACAAGTAGTCCATGGCGGCATGGAGATAGAGAGGTGGCCAAATGTACCCGAGGTAAGTAAGCTATGTACTATGTCCGAAGCAGTCTCCGCCACATGCAGTAAATGCTGCATCTCTCCTTATTAGTGTAGGTGCGTCTCCTACGCTGACATGGGCGGGCTTGCTTGTTGGACATGTTCCAGTAGTAATGACAATGCTTTCTGGGGAAAGTATATCCTTCCCAAGGCACCGACAAAGAACAGACTGTCTAATATCACTGTGTATTACACAAATCTGCCCAAGAGATCTGCAACTGCGGTTCATGCAAGATGAGTAGCAAGTGTGTAGTGTATGTAACACTCCAGAGCATATGACGTCCTCCCTGGTCTGGCAACATTTTACACAATCGCTGAATGAGCGCTGGTGATTTGTTACTCTGCTGCTGTGTGGAAGCTTGATCACCTGGCATGTCTGGAATCATATGCCTATGTAACGCCTCTTTTCTGGCCACCTGAATTCCATGTGTCAAGAAATACCTTGTACCTACTGTACCATGTAACCCCTCAGCGCGCACCAATGGCCATTGGGGGGCTTTCAATGCTAGATCCCCTGGATGCCAGATGCAGATACTACTACCTTGCAGGCAGACTGCATATTGCATCGTCCAACGGTGTCGCTTTCGCGTTCTCCAAAAGAAAAAAGAAAATAAAAAGCCTCCGAGAATGAAGAGGGACTGGGATCAAGGCCAACAAGAGAACCCTCCATTCCTAGCACGCAATTAATGCGCAGGGTCTGCCCAGATGTCTGCTTTCCGACATTTTCCCTTAACCGTCTCCCGTCCCCGCCCATTCCGGGCGGGCCACTCATTCTCTTCATGGGGTTTTTTTCCTTTTGCGTGATTATCCAGAAACCTGACTGAGCACGCGAGCGAGACTTTTCGCAAGGACATTGCCGACGGAATGTCAAAGATTGTCTAAGGGGGAGGGAAATCACCACCGAGTTTGTTCGGGACCGTCGTAATCTGGTCCGTTTTCTAGTGCTTCCCTTTTATTTTCGTTCGCTCCCTACTGCAAAGACGTTGAATTTCATGTTCCCAAATTTAAACCACCTTTTTTTAGTCATGACAGCAAATTCTAGTCTTGCTGACCATGCGGCTCTAAACAATGATTACTTGCTTCCCAGACCAGACCCATTGGCACCTGGGGTAAAACCATAATCTCGGAAGCCCCTTGTCAGTGCGCGTCTTCGTTTGGGACATTATTTTAGTCTATAAATAATAAAATACACTTGCGTAAATAGCGATATTCCAAAAAAAAAAAAAAAAAAAAAAAAACGACTCCGGAATTTTCTATGAGGGGGATGCGGAATTAGTACGGTAATTGTGTACGGTAACTGTCCCTATGCGTAACAGCACTTTTTCTTCCATCCATGCCAAAGCCGTTATTGCTTGGGTCTTCTGGAAACGCCAGCGCTCAGATGCTCTTTCATTTCATCAAAGTGGGTTGCTCTTCCCAATATTGGTAATGTTACCTCGATGTTTTCCCACGATACTTCATGACTCACTTGTGTTATTAGTGTACACTACTACTACGGTGTACAGTACAACCAGTACGTACAACTCACGACCTGGGATATTTCCTGCATCGGTTCACGTCTTCCGCTTCGTCCCCATCGTTGCAGTACTCTGTATCCCCCTACCTGGTCGCAGATAGGGATCCTCTCGGAAAGATAACACCAGTTCGGTTGAGCAGTACGTCTATCCGCCTGATGCCAGTCACTTTTTGTTCGTGTCCGAAGTGCCCTTTCAAGATTTCGGTCACGCAAGACCCTCGGAAAAATGGTTGGACCGCGGAGCCCTAGATCCGATATCCATAGATCCATAGTTCAGTCTTTCGATACAATGTATTGTAAGTCAGACTTGATACGACGACAGAGTCTCAAGTACGAGGCAGTGAGATTGATAGTCTCGAAATTCCATGATGCGAAATGCCGAGGTGAAGACCACAGGTATTCTAACACGTAGGTCACTCTCCCGGCTTTCGCATACAGTCTATGCTGTTACGCCACGTAGAACAAGGCACGTTGGGCATCCATCTGCATCGGTTGTTTTGATACAAAGCGGTGAGACGAAAGAAGACAAAAGGTCCAAACAAGCAGTCGGCCCTGGACGACGATACCGCTGCCGCCATCATAGCTGATCGCAACCAAGCCCATGTCAAGTGCAACCGACACTTCAACCTTTGATAGCTTGGTCTACGCTGCTGTATTAGCAAAGTACTCATTGAACGGTATACCTGCCTAAATACCTATACCGACGAAATAGAAAATGGCAGGCAATATGTAGTATAGGACCGGTCTTGAGCATGGCCACACAAAACGCAAGAATTAGTATTATGGCTGAATGCTGGGAGTGAATCGAGACATGGTCATGAAACATTTGTAATGTCAACTTTTCCCCCTAACTTCACCCAGGTACTTGTGAGCAAGCTGGTCTATTCGAAATGTGACAGCCTTGCATTCAAATCAGATGTATGGGGAACCGCCATTCACCCATGGGTCTCTTCGACTTTTCCCATCATTCCATCTTATCATAAGCACAGAGAATGACATCACGAGAGGCCAATGTATAAGTTGTTCATGTGGTATCAAATCAAAATTCAGAGCACATCAAGATGCAATTAACTCCTGAACTACCGGTTGACCATTCATACGTGCCGTTAAGAAGTCAGTCCCATTTTTTCCACGTTTCCAGCCCTGTCCCTTGATCGTAGAGCTTTTCTTTACTCGCGGAGCTCGGCAATCTTAGCCTTAACTCTCTCCTCCTTCTCAGCCTTGGACAGCTTGTTGGAGCGGTACTTCTTAGACTCGGCCTTCCACTCCTCCTTGGACTTCTTGGGGGCGTCGCTCTCGGCCTTCTTGAAGGGGTCCTCACGGATGGCAGAGTGGGCCTCAGTGTAAAGGTCCTCAAGACCCTCAGCCTCAACATCGTCGTCGATGTACTGCTGGAACTGGGAGGTGTAACGCTCCTCATCGTCGTCGGCGAGAGTCTCCATGTACTCAGCGACGTGGCCACCGAAGATGTACTTCTTCAGGGTCTCGGCGTCGAGCTCCTCGCTCTCAATGTCGAAACCGGGGAAGCGGTTCTCGGAGTGGGGGATGAAGATGCCACCGTCGGAAGCACCCTTCATGGCACCGAAGACACGGGCACCAGTCGAGGTACGGGCAAGACCAACATCGAGGAAGGCCTTGAAGGGGCGGCGCTCCTCACCGTCGACCTCAGCGGCCTCGGTCAGGGTGTACTCGCCATCAGCCTCCTCAACACCAGCGAAGTGCTCGTCGAGGCCGAGCTTCTTCAGGACACGGCGGGCCAGCAGAAGACCGGTAGCGTAGGCAGCAGCCCAGTTGGTAAGACCGTGCTTGATGCCGTAGGCCTTCAGCTCGTGCGAGTAGGCAGAGGCGAAAACCTTGTCACCGCTGATCTCAGAGGTGACGATCTGAGTGATGATGTCGCGGTTGGTGAAGCGGACGACCATGCGGTACTTGGGGGCATTGTACTTGTTCTTGGCCTGGGTGATGAGGCGCTTGCGGGCGTAGTAGTCGGTCTTTCCCTCTCTTCTGCGCTTGTACTTGGTCTGGAAGCGACTGTAGTAAAAAGAAGAGCTCTTGTCAGCGACCCAAATCTCTCCCAATTGACGTCCCAGCTCCTCCCCAAAGACAGAAATCAGTGCGAAGATGGGAATTGCAGCTTACCTGTAGTACGCGTTGTTCTTGACCATCTTGTGGAACGCCTGTCACGATAGACCCCCGGAGTCAGCAATTTGCGCTTCAGATTTTTTGGACTTTTTTTTTTTCAATCTTTTCCATCACCCGAAGCATCTTGCATTGACTCTCTCACAATTCAAGTGCAGTGAAGCCATTTCTGGCACTGCCTTGATCAGGTAAAACTCACCATTTTGACTGTTTGACTGACTACCGGTCTTGTCGGCTGGTTGGTCGTTGGGCGGTGGAAAATGAGGTTGTCCAAGTTCAAGATCCACGGAATTTTTGTTGTGGGTGAAATTCGTTCTACTAGTGTGTGAGATCCGAGCTGCGCCAGCCAAAGCCCTCGCATACACTGGTGGGGTACGACAGATGTGGAAAATTCATTCCAATTTGGTAGGGCGACGAGTTTTGGCTGATGGGTGAGTCGGAGGTCGGAGCTTAGGGATTGACTTGACTGAGTGACGACCCCACCATTACTGAAAGGTCGAGTCTCGCTCTCCAAAGGTCAAAGGTTCACTCACAAGTTGCATACAGCATGCACGGACCATGTCTTCCTCCCTCTTCTTCTTCCCCAGATACCGAGGCTCCTATTCGGTTCAATGAATCCGGGGTCAACTAACTGAAGGACAAGACTTCTACAGAGCAGATAATCTTGATCAATCTAGAATTGCCATATCTTTGAAGCCATTCGTTTGTTTTTAATACTCATTTCTCGTGCATGTCATTTCCCTGCCCTGTTGCATATTGTTTGCCTGCAAAATGTCGTTGAGTGGGCAGCCCAAAGTCATACTCTTTGACATTGGTGGAGTCGTTGTAAGTTAGATCAGGACGTGCAATCATGAGCAGATGATTCCCACGGATCAATATTCGTGTCTTGAACGATCCAATATGGCACTGACTGACTTTACCAACAGGTGGTCTCGCCATTCCAGTCCATACTAGATTATGAGTTGAGCCTAGGAATACCACCAGGATGGATCAACTACTCCATATCCAAAACCGCACCCAACGGGTTCTGGCATAAGCTAGAGAGGGGCGATATCCCCATGGACGATGCCTACTTTGAGGGCTTCAGTAGAGATCTGCATGACTCTGCCCGGTGGGAGGCATTCTACAAGACCCAACAGGGCAAGGATGCCAAGCTGCCAAAGGATATTCCCCCGCTGCCCACGCTGGACGCAAGGTGGCTCTTCAATGAGATGATGACAGCCTCGACGGCACCGGACCCGTGGATGTACCCGGCGCTCAAGAAACTCAAAGAAAGCGGCAAGTTCATCCTGGCGGCGGTCAGCAACACCGTCATATTCCCGCCTGGGCACTCTCTGTACCAAGAAGATTATTTCGGCGGTCCAGTGAGGGGCTTGTTTGACGTTTTTGTCTCCTCGGCACACGTCGGTCTGCGGAAACCAGATCCGAAAATGTATCAGTACACTTTGGCTGAGATCAACAAATACGCTTCAAAACAAGGGGCGGGCGGGCCAAAGGCAGTCAACAGTGACATTAAGCCAGAAGACATAGTCTTTCTGGACGACATTGGCGAGAACCTAAAAGCGGCCAAGAAGCTCGGCCTGAGAACTATAAAGGTGAACTTGGGCAGGGCGTTTGAGGCAGTCGATGAGCTGGAAAAAGTGACTGGACTCCAGCTAGCTGGCGATCATCCTAGAATACCAATCCAGCCTAGATATGGCCCTGTAAAGGCAAAGATATAACGCCATGGTTAAATAGATCAGTGGTTGAAGGAAGCTTACATAGATCACCAGGTGACCACACTCATGACGGTAGACACGCTAAACGAATACAATGATACGCTCGCCGTAGTTTGCGAACAATAAAATTAGTCTTGTCACTCACTATACGTGGAAGTAGTCCAGACACATCACGTCACGATGAAGCAGAGGGAGAAGAAAAGAGTCAAAATGTTGTAGTACAAATTGTACAATTCATAAAGTCGTTATATTCATGTCATTGGGTGAACAAGATTGGTACATCCATCGTTTGGTGATCAAAAGTCGTCTGTGGAGGCGGCGAGCCTGTCCTTCCAAAGAGACGCTCCTGAAACCGAACGCCCATGGCCGCCATGGCCGCTGGGGTTACTGTGTTCTCCTTTCTGGGCTGTTTCTTACCGGCAAATTGCTCGGTCAGCTTGGTCATTACAGTTTCCTTGGCTTTCTTTAAAGCCGTCATGCGCATGTCCGGATCTTCGGCCAGCGCTCGTTGCGCCTCCTCAGCTTCGAGGTCGCGTTGCACTGCGCTTATCTCGCCGCACAGTTCTGCTGTGGGGTCATAGATGGTGGGGTGTAGGAGGGCAGGCATGGATGGTTGGGTATTTAGAATGGGCGCAGAGATCTCCAGTTCCGACTCGCGAATGGGTGTGATGGGTCGGAAGTATTCATCTATGGAACCCGCATCCGTTGGGGTGTGGGTAGAGCTCAGCGAGGGCGTGATCTCGCCAAACAGTCGGGTGCAAGAGCTGGAGGCAGAAGGGCTCTCCAGCTCTCCGTACAGCCGCTGACTTGATGTTGATGAATGGATGCTGCTCGCCTCACCAAAGAGGGTCGAGCGTGAACGGTAGTGTACAGGTCGCGGCGGTTCTCTTGGCGGAGAGCGAACCTCTAGATCATGCGCAGGCTCCAAGCTAGCTTCTGACTTTTGGCGACGGAAGAAGCGAGACGCCTTGGGAGTGTGAGGCTCCTCCTCGCGGGTTTCCTCAACTGCTTCTGTTTGCTCATGCCCGGGCTTTCTCCTACGGCGACGCTTGGTGAGGCGTTTGCCCTTGACCGTGCTGGAGCATACGCTAGCCTGGCGTGCGGATTCCAAGTCCGAAGGCAGATCGTGATCGTACACTTCTGGCTCCTGGTAGAAACTGAGACCATCGAGACCTTCTATGTGGTCTACGGACATGATTTCGTCCGTGAAAGAGGCCATGGCGGGAGAAGGAAGGGGTAGATCGTCAACGGTTGGGGTAGAGTACAGGCTGGCAGCCTCACTAAAGGTAGCAACCGAGTTTCGCGTCCAGGTCTCATTGCGAGAACTGTCGTCCATGAGCGGCGCCAGAGCATCATCCCAGCTGCCATCGTTGATAAGAACGACATTCTCAAAGTCAAATTCGCGCATGTGCTGTTGGTGCGACGAAATCAGCTCTGCTACCTGCGGTGCATTCATGGTCGCATTGCGGATAGACAGATTTCGCAGCTTGCGGAATTTAATAGGCTTCCTGCTCGGTGCCGGGGGCAATGGAGACATTGGCGAGGTCACCTCTTGGAATAGCTTCTGCGAGCTTCGAGGCGGCGCAAACAAGGGATCTTGCGCCAATGCAATGGGACACGGGCCCTTGCGACCAATCCATGTGAATGTCAACTTCTCCAGGCAGTCGGAGAAGTTGCGAATGTAGTCTTCAATGATCTTGAGATGATCCAGTCCGGGCGATGGACCATAGAAATCCCATGCCTCTGCTGAAATGTGCAGTTTGCGAATCTGCTTCCACCGTCTACCAGCTGAAGGCGTGCAGCCAAAGCCAGGGACGTGGCGCAAGTATGTAAAGGCGGAAGGGTGCACTGAAGACAAGGACAACTTCATGAGCTTGGGCAGAGGCGCCCTCTCCAGCGAGATGCGAAGGCTGATCAAGGCGTAATCGACTATATCGCGCCTGTATCTCTCCTTGGGATCCTGTCCAGGCGTCTTAATAGTAATGTGCCTCACGTTTGACAGGTTTCTCATCGCATTGATAAAGGACGGCACATTGGATGCCGCGTGGAATAATGGTGGATATTGTTGCGTTAGGATTTCGCCGAGTTCGCTGTTTGCAAACTTGGGCCTTGCCATAGCCGATGCCATCGAAGTGTAGGGGGTATATAGAAAGCTAATCTCACGCCCAGTCTCGGGGTGGATTAGTGGTGGTAAAAAGGTCGCATCCGAGTGCGGAAAGTAGAAAGTCAAATGCTCGATGTGATGGCCGATTTGCGACAGGGCCTGGATCCTGGACTGCTTGGTAAAAGTGTTTGGGTTGAAGGTCACGTTGGTTCGTAGGAAGAGCCGCTTGGTAACGAGGTTGCAGCAAGCTGAAGATGCGAGGCGGACATTGCAAATGTCTTCCTTTGGCAAAAGGTCGAAGAGGATTTCCCGGATGTGCTCGTCCTGCCACAGGCAAAAGAATGCTTGTGGCATAGTCGCCATGTTGTTCGCATGTCGTTGTGGTGTTGTCTCAGTAATGTCTCGTATAGTCGTGCCGAGCACGAGTAATAGTCGAATGTGGTAATAGTAGTGTGAGGGTTTTTGGCCCAATTTAGAAGGTTAACGTTAAGGTTGCGCGCAGCAAATCTGACGGCGTCCCACCGTACAGAGTTGAGAAGGTTTGTTTTTGAGTTGGTTCGAGTTGTTGGAGGGTTGGACTCTTGACTTGGAGAGAAAAGTCAAAACCAAGGTCGTGACGGTAACAACAAGAGGTTTGTTGACTCAACCGGCACACACCAAGGAACAAAGAGAGAGGTGCTATATCAGAGAGAAAACCAGTCGGCCACGGCGACTAATGTGCGCTGCGAAGAGCGTCGAACCCTTTTTGGATCAGTACACCTGCGCTTGACACGATTCCATTACCATATCGTGCCAAAAACTTCAAAAGAGGAGAATCGGTCAGGCACACATGGCTCTTCGACCCAGTTATACCCATTGGTGTTTTCCTTTTCCATCCATGGGACGACGACACGACCCGCCCCCCTTCGCTCGCGGTTCCCGTTAGCATGGTTTGTAGTTTGCCATCTCGAGCAGTACAGACAGCGTCGTCCCCCCAGTTAGCCCTCATCCA